CCTACGCAACCTCGTTTCAACAAAAGGCAGTGGTGGCGGCACAGATGAGGATGTCAAAGCCAGCCAGGATCGAAACGACAGCAATCCAGGCCTTCCTGCATTAATCTGAAACCGGTGTGGAGATCTACTGCACTGCACTCAGCATAAAGCGTGAACAAGATCCGGATTTTGAAAATTAAAGTCAGTCAAATCTATGTGATGGTTGAGAGACTTGACGCGTTACGAAAAGCATTTCGAAGGAACTGGAGACATGTATGTACAGCTACCGCCTACGCTCACTCGATCCTGAAGATCAGATGGCCAGAATAATAAGAACAAGCGAGGAGGAACTCTGGCTGACTGGCAACGAACCAACCGAGAATCTATCGCCCAACAAATATGCAGAAGAAGAAAGTTTGGATGGATTGTATTAGACACAGAGTGAGAAGACGGTTTGGGGGCATCACGTGCCAGGCCCTTGAGTGTAACTCACATGGAAAACGACGGGTTGGGCGTCCGAGAGTGAGATAAAGGAGATGATGTGAGGAAGAAATGAAATCTTCTGTGGAGTTGTGGAACCAGGTTGAAAGATTGGAGAGAAGATAGTGAGATGACGACGTGCCACTGAGGCCATATGTTTCACTAGGAACGGAAGGGACAAATAATAATAATATGTTGAATATGCTAAGAGATCCAGATATATTTATTGTTGAAACTCAAGAATGTTGCAAATACTAGGTACAGGCTATTTGACTGCAATATTGCTTGATGCTTGCTAAGATGATGTTTAATTATGCGGCTTATCAAACTGACTGGTCAATTTGAAGATAGTTTTTAATAGGCATCAAAATGGGCTAGCAAATCTTCGAAAATCAAAAAAACAATTGGTAAATGTTTTGCGATAATTTTCGTTACTAGGTAGTTTCATTCATAGAGCCATAGAAGATGATGACCTTCCGAAGGTTTTTATGCGAAACCATAATCAGTGGTGGGGCCAACGAATTCAGGGGTAAAAAAAGTGTTTTCCATCTATAACGGTATATGATGAGTAGGAAAATGGAAACAGCTGAATTCTAAACTAGTGTTTATGAGATGACATACCAATATGGGGTTTTCAGCTTACATTGCTGAAGCTAAAATAATCACCAAGTTCTCCTTCTTTTTCAGTAGTTCTCCAGACAATCAATTCCTTATGAAAGTTATCTTCAAAAGAGTGATAGTTTTTTTCTTTTTGAAATTTTTTTTTTGTTACATCGTTTAGACTTTCTAAGTAGATCATTCTCATTGTAGTCTTCTAACGTTTGTCGAGTTAATTGTTCAATATTACAGATGTTTTAAATTTTAAATACTTCATCATTGAGATAAGCTAAGCTGATTGTTGATTAACAGAATTTCGGTTTTGTTTTTTTCAAAGTATCATTCTACCAACACAATTTTCTGCTTCTTCTAGTACTCTTTTTCCTGTTGAGTTTCTCTGGTAACATTATTGATTTTTCGTTTTATCATCCTTTTCTCTAACTTGTAACTTTATCTTTGTAAGTGAATCAGTGTATTGATTGATTTCATAATTAAAATTATATAATTGAGTACTATATTATGAGGTACATAAAGTGTTTCTTACTTTCTCTTTGTGTACTTGTATATTTATGTTAGTGCATTCCACTATATTCGGTTTTAATAATAATAATAATAATCAGAAATCAAACATTTCTAGAGAAATTACTTTAATCTTTACAACACTTTGTATTCTGTCAACAAATTCTATATGATTGTAATATCGACTGACTAATCTATTGTAATTTTCATCAACTTCAGGCAACTACAATAATTTCATTTGAATGCGAATGAGTTGTCCTTTCATTTACTGCTTGACTTTAGTCTCCCTGTTTTCATATCTTCAGTCAGCTATGAACTAAGAAATCTAATCAGTATCTCTTCTAATAATTGTGCACTTATTCACCTCTCTAAAAGTTGTTTGTATAATGTCATAGCCATACAAACGGACAAATTAATAACTTGTTAGTAGTAGCTATCGTGACTCAGTAGCTTAGTAAACATCCATCCAAGTCATCATGGGACCAGGCATTACTAAGTAACGGGTCCGAGTTGCAACACCTCAACATCAGTACATCAAGTAAAAAGACAGTGAAGTGGAAGATGAAGATAAGAAAATTCAGTCAAAAGAAATATAAGGTATGAAAAGAGAGAAAGGAAAAATGAGAAAATGGTGAGATTCAGTATAGCGTCGTTAAGATGAGGATAATGTATACATATACATCTCTGCCACTGACATCGGTTCTCAGCCATATCATCAAATAGAGTCTCCAACTACTGACTGGTTCCTCTTGTCTTGTGAACCCCAACCACCCAGTCTGTATCACCCTACATGCCTCAAACCAACAGTCAAACACTTCATACATTGATGCCATGTTTTAGTCTGGCTGCGTCGAGCCTTTCTCCAGCTTAAACCTACTTCGGCCAACATTGTGTGACGAGGCAATCGGCGACTAGGCATACGTAACACATATCCAAACTATCTCAGTCGATGAAGGTTCATAACCTCGTCAACTGACTTACCTCTTCTCCCTAAAATGCTACACCTGACTTCCACGTTACTCACTCACGTGGTGACATCAAGGAATGTGATGAACCTTTCATTCAGTTCATCAAATCATGTTCATGTGGTAGGAGCACCTCATTCTGTTCTGAATTAGTCCATCTGCATTAGTTTTGAACTGCGTTTAAACCAAAACCAATGATTTTCCCAATTAGTAATGATGGATAGTAGCTAGCAGTGAGATCCAGAATGTGCATTTCGTCCTATTTGGGACTCATCAGCTGGGTGTACTTGCCTCTCAATGAGTGGTGTTTCCACAGGGGTTCGGTCTCGGAAGCGATCGCTTCAAACGTCAGAGAGTTATCCACTACACCACCGAACCACGATAGCCACTTCTTGTGCCACGGGTATAGTTTTAGTGTTCTTGTTTATATTATACGGTCGTTAATTGGAGACAATTGATCGTTCTTTATGGGCATATGGGCTCCCGTACGGAAGCGTGGATACTACCTGTTTTTTTTTAATTGTATAGTAGTGATGGCTAGCGGTTAGGAGTTGAATCCAGGATGCTCATTTCGTTCTATTTTTGACGAGCAGGATAAGCAGTAACACTAAAATTGCTCTAATTGTTGGGTAGTATTGATCTGATTAGTCGGAACTTGGTACCGAATAGTAAGAATGTTTTGCAACTTTTCATATCATCTTATTCTTTTCATTGTATAGGATGTATTTTCACTATACAATGAATCATACCAACTCGGTGCCCAAGTTTTTTCAAACCATGCAGTCCATCGTTGGCCAGGATACCTTCAAATCTTATTCTTTTGCTTCATTATTTTTTTGAAAACGAGAAATATAAGGAAGGCATTAGTCAACATCCGGTAATTATTTAGATTTGTTTAAGTAACTAGTGTGAAGAAGATGATGGTTGATGAGACCATTGGCGAATAGGATACTACCTTGATAATTTCTTAGGACGCGCGGCTATAACGTCTGTCAGAGCACTTTGAAGTACAGTTCAAGTGGATCACAGCTACACTTAAATCTCCAAACATCTAGGATGAACGTGACTTGGATGTAGATTTCGATCCTCCAACTCTTCTAGAAGTTGAAAATGCTGTTTCGAACCTGAAACGATGAAAACCATCAGGAACTAATCATTTACTATCAGCGTAGTGTAAGGAAAAATGTAAGAAATCACTCATTAGATTAATACATGTACTAAGAAACCTAGGGGAATCAGATGCAGTCCCATCAGACTGGTCTACTTCACTGATCAGTCCAGTGTATATGAAGTAAGAGAAGTCTTCTTGTGACAGCCATGGGACGATCAGTTTGGGCTAATATCGTGTTCAAGATTCTGGCGTCCAGAGTTATCCGGTGCACAGTTGCAGCTGGAGAACAACGACCTTGAGACAACCAGGCGCATTTCACACTTGTATGAAGATGCGTCGACCAGATTTTCATCCGTCGAAAGTTCCTAGAACAGGTATACTTGTCAGTGACCGACATTTTATGTATGTTCCTTCGGAGTGTAGCAACTAGAACTGTTGTATGTATGTGCCAAGTTCTACATTAATGTGTGTATCTTTAGTACGTTTTTCTTATCGTATTCCAGTTTTTTTTACCTCATGTTGTTGTTATATCATGTTATCCAGTTCATTTCTTGCTCCTTATGTTCTACCATATTTGTGCTTGAAGTAGTGCTTATAAGATTGGTAACAATCTACTACATAGTTACTGACTTGGATGTTCTACATTCATTACAATACTTCCAGATTTACAATTGGAATCAACTAACTTTAAGTAACTATTTCATATTAAATGCCATTATGGGTTAACTAGTAGAATTATGGCGCATTGGTTTAAAAAGTTGACTTTCAACCAATGGGTCTTGGGTTCGAATACAGCTCCACCTACAGAGGTTTGGACAGCTAGATAGTATCATTACCATGTACAATATATGTGACTTATTGCCTACTACACGCATGTGCACAAGGTTGCTGAGTGGATTTCGTTTTCTATTTATTTCAACAGATTAACTAATTGAAAATGTGCAGAAGTTTTGTTCGCTATTTTCAGCTATTAGTTGTAAAATGTCATTATGAGTCAAAAAGAACTACCTATCTCTACTGCGATGTAATGGCTGAAGTTATTGGTTCTGATGCTAATGTTGTATAGAGCATTGAAATACTGGGATGTTGTGCTTCGTCTTGGATTATTTATCTTATGGACCACGCTTTTTGAATAGCCAATCATGTCCGAGTTACAGGTTCAAAGTCTTACTGTGAATAACTTATAAGTTTACCTCCGTATCACTTCTCTTCTAATTGATTGGTACAACCACTGTACTCTTCAAAATTATAATGCTTTATGCGATGAAAAGTAATGTCTAGTCTACTTATCTTTAACTCTGACCAATAGTGTAATTCTACCTTTTTTCTATCTTTTGTGTGTGAAACAGCTCGGGGTCAATTGGTACATTCAATGATGAATCATGATTTCGTAAGTCGATCAAATACATCAGATTTAGCTGGTGATGGATTTCTTAGCAATTTGACAGCTGTCTTAGTTCGTCTTACTGGACCACTAGTCACACTGCCAGATAAACCACCATTAGATAAAATTTGGCCAAAATATGCTAAAGATTCCTGTCCAGAAAGAACAGTGTTACCAGGTATGTATTCTTGTTGAAACGAATCCTTAGCATCTTTTGCAAAGGGTTGAACATCATTTCTGATTACAAAGATCTCATGTACTAATTAATTCAGAGTGATATTAACCTTTTTTCTGTCATTAGTCAACCAACTTGCTTCCTGTTAACTACAAGAATAGTTTATAGTTCAGATTTACGCTAGTAATGTTGTGTCCTCTTCGAAAGTGTGATTTGATTTTATTGCTGATTTCAGTCATCTGGTCACGGGTTGGGATCCCTTTTCACTTAGCGAGATTCGGATATTCAAGTAGTAGTCATGTAGTGAGCGCTACTGATGAGAATCGATATAAGTAGTATGTAGTGAGAGGTGGGCAGAAGCCATAGGTGATTAAGAACGATGGGAAACGTAAGAAACAACGTGGATGTGTGAAGAGCAAAATGAGGTAGAAGGAGAAAAAACGAAATATACTGGGCAAATCAATATTTCAATGGAAGGGTTACCATATTTCATCAGTAATATGCAGCCAGCTCTCTCTGAAGGTTACCTATTTGTTTTCTCCAGTTATTTACCTCTGTTGACTTCACTGGAGCTACTGCTGTGCCCATTAGCTTTCTGGTGACCTTCTCCAGCTCACTAACATCCATTGGTTGAGCTGCGTTCGCTAGTTGTAGCTCCTGGTCAGTAGCATTTGGGATACTTTCGGTGAACTGTGCAGCCAAGAACTGCCTGGGAGTCCTCATCCAAAGTGGGAAGTGCTTGTCGAATTAGTTTTGTCAACTTCGAAACCAGTACCAGCAAGTTTTCATTTATTCCAGGTTTCGTGCTCCGGAACTGCTACATAGCCAGCTCCCTGTCCTCTGGGCTGTCAAACTCCGCCTCCAGGTGTTCAACCATTCTCTACCAAATCTCCTTCCCATCCCCACGTTCCACGCCGTCATATGCAACTTTCAATCTACCCCTCAGCAACGTGCCAAGCACCACGACCTTTGCTTCTGGATCCTGAATACCCATGTGTTTCATGCAATGTATCTTCCCATTTTGCGCTTATTTGTGTCCCAGTATGTTCTGTAGTATTACAGACGATTTGTGCGTTCAATAAGCATACTTCATTATGACTAATCGAGTTTTGATCGAATAAGTTCTTTTAAAGCTTGATTTTCCGAGTCAATAAATTATTTTAACGATCATGAGTTTGTTGCTTTGCTGGGCTTCACTCAATATGATTAGTTTTCTAGCGCCCTGAATGGCTTCTTAAAGAAACCATTACTACCAAGATATCATTAACAGTCGTATGCAAAAATATTCACCTTATTCCCCCCCCCCTGACAAAGATATCTCAAAAGTAACTCCTCTAGTATTCTGGTTTTGTCTATCTTACTCTTGTCTTACAGAAAGGAATTATGTGGTTGGGTACGTTTGTCACTTCACTTATTTTGGAAGTCAGATGAACTTTGGTGAAGTTATTAAACTGCAAAATCTGGACACAGATATGAAAAGTTCGATCCACCATCGCCAAATTACACCATGTATGACTTCGGTTTCATATCCAATTGCCTATAAAGAGTTAAATGGGCTGCGCAGCAGTCCACTCACATCCACTAAATAACTGTGAAACATGACCAGTAAAGGTAGGGGACATGAGAAAACTTTATAGCATTGGTTTTGATTTGTGAAAACACTACGTTAGTAAAGTGGAAGTCAGCTACAGAGTTTTCAGTGGGAGAGGTAAGTCAGTTGATAAGGTTGTAGACCTTCTAGTCAGCCGCAAAAGATTAACTGAAGTAGATAAAGAGTTTTTAAAAAAGCTGTTAGTGTGAGCCGTGTAGAGAAATGTAAACTTCCAAGCTAAGATGGGTACAATAATTGAGATAGGTGAATAGAAAACTTCAGGTGATATATCTCAAAACCAATCTCAGTGAGGCAGATGCATTCACGCCTTATAGTTACATTTCGTCCTTTACTTTGATCTCATAGTATTTCCACGTCTTTTGATTATACTACTATTATTCCCCCTCTTTCAAGTTTTGCTTGGCTTCTTGTTGAGTGGATGTGGGATATTGGCAACTTGAAGTGTTACTTATTTGTATTAAGTCGTATGCTGATGTTAACTACCTGAATATTACTTATCGCTTATCTAATCTGACTTCTTTTTATTATACAGTTGTGTATCTATTGTAGTTTTCATTAATCGTAACTTACTATTGATTGTTGAATTTTCTAGAGTTACGTGCAGAAACACGTCTTGCTCCTGTTTCATCTCACAGTCTAATTTTGAATTCAACAAATTCTGATAAATCAGAAAATAATTTACTGGTAGAAGATGATTATCCCTTATTGACTGAATTATTTTTTATTGCACATGCTGCTATACGAATTGGATGGACTCCGTTAATTGCCAGACATTTTGAAACAGGTCAACAGTTACATCGACTAGAAGATCAGTTGCAGCCTCATGAATCCGACAATTCTAATGATTCCCAAGGTAAGATATATCTATACAAACAATGTTTTCTAGCTTCAAGTTAACCAACTACAGTAAACTCAAATTTATTTTTGTCATTTGGCCGTAGTTTAGCAGACTAGTATTCATACTGGGTGATGATTGGAGGTGAGATGAAAGTCTGGATCGTGGCCGGATTCGAACCACCGACCATCGGGTTTCCTACACGATGCTCTACCAACTCACCTATGAGGTCCTGTCCAATTGCTGCTTAGATTTTTATTTCATAATTCAATCACCAAAGGATTTGCCTGACTGCCGTGTGAATTCGTGACGCATTACTACCGCTTGATCCTACTCACACCTTCAATCATCAACTAGTATCAATACTAGTCTCCCAAACCATGGCTATCTCAGATAATAGTCAAGTGATAATCAATATGATACCCCCCCACTCTGTGATTCGATTAGATTTGGATTGGGATGAGAAAATCTGATTAGACATCCAGTGTGAAGTCCGATCAAGCAGTAGTAACAAATCATGAGTTCACATGGTAGTAGGGTTAAAACCCTTGGTGATTGAAGTGAAATCAAATTTATTTGTTTCCACTTAACTGGTCAGTGTAAATTGTTTAGTGTTCTTACAGTTACTATACACCGGTAGTTGCAGCAGATTTCAGATCCCATGACTTGGGGTATGTGAGTTAAATGCTTAAGCTAAAGAATCACATTTCCTTAGTCTCTTTATCCTTTTACTCTAATTACTTATACTTCGTATTATACGGATTGTGTGTTTCTAATCTACTGTGAAATAATTTTATATTATTATATTATTATATTTTATATTATTAGTCATATTACATGACTTTACTCATTGAACTAGTGAATAGTCGAATGCTTCAATCGTTGGAACATTTACAGGAATTTTTTTCGGTATGTTCATACATTTTGTCTAATCATCGTCAAAAAATGTGTTGCTGAGAAACACATTAAAACCGGAACTTTTTCTGCATTCACTTATGTCTTTTGACTAGCGTTTATTTTAAGTGAGTTGTTCAGATTAGAAACTTTTAGTGTTTGAGGGTTAAGATGTGTGTTCTACACGTGCATGTTTTATCGTTTACTTTGGTGTTCACTACTATCTAGGTTCGATACAGAGTATAATAAGCCACAAGGTCCTTGAACTACCTACACGACTTTAAACTATCTATTTTGTAGGAAGAAAATACTATCAGCTAAATTAATACAACTCCGTAACCAATCGCGTGTTCATGTTGATATCTTTAGGGTTCTCGTTGTGAGAGTTGCAGGTATGTTCCCAGCTGCCTGAATCGATAGATGCTATCTTGATGTGGTCGTCAGGCTTGAATATCGCAATGACCTAACGAACTATTCAGGTTGAACGCTTGCTTCCTTGAGGTCCTATTAAGCCAAAAGTCTGTTGGACAGTGGTAAGATGAAAAGCAGTTACTGTTATGGTGTAAATTACTACAGTATGATAGGGGTCTGAGGGCGAAGTTATACTGGTTCTAGCTGAATGTGGTGTGACTGCAGTAAGGTGTTCCCCTGGGATGCCCAGCAGTGTCACGCTGATGCTGCCTTCTCAACAGGAAGTGGGAGGGGTAGCTAAGGTCGACACTGAAAATAACACACTCCATCTCCACGGTGTTCCGATGCCGGCGGTTAACAGACGTCTGTGTGCCGTTCGACTGAATGGATCTGTAAAGACTAGGAAGAATCTTGAGACCAACCGATGCCTATTGATAATCTCTGCTTACGTACCCACTGACTGCAATTCTGATAATGCAAAGGATGAATTCTATAAGAAACTGTCAATTTTGCTACGGGAAGCAAAATATTTCGGTGTAGTCATAATGACAGATAACTTCAATATTCAATTGGGTAAACTGTGGTGAGGCAATGGGAAAGACATTTGAAGATATTTACGGAATCTTATGCCAACGAACCGTCAAAGGTGATCGTCTGTTCCAAGTTCGTTCCAACAATCACTTGTTTTTGACCAGCTTATGTGAAGAGACAGTCTCACTTGATGTCCACCGATATCCAATCAATGATGAACAGAGATAAATCATGTTGCTATAAGCCATTGTTGCAGAGGATCGTTAGAAGATTGCCGCATTCTCTTTTAGACTCCGGGGACGTGTATGTCTGCGCCTTACTAAACGCTAAGTTCATTCCACACTTTGAATATGCTGTTTTGTTCACCCTGGTTACAGCGATTTTAAATACATATGAACGACTAAACTTTCAGCTATAATCCCACTATTCGGTTGCATTAAATATACTTTCAATCCATTTGTTGTCTTCTGGTATCAGCTGAATGTTGTATTAGGGAAGTCATTGTTCTTTCGTTAGTCGTTTCATGTAGGAGCACTATGTCGTTCATATATATACCTCAGATCAAAACAATTGGAATAGAATTTATGTCACACCTATTCACTTGTACATTCACATCTTCGCCTTGAACTCACGGTCTAATAACTGATAACGATGACATTTATTTCCACATTATTGTCATCATGTATGAGCAATATGATTTGATTTGTCTTTATTTGCTATTTAAACATGTATGACTTGTTCAGGTTTTATTCTTTAAAGAAACGGCTTCTACGAAGTCGTGAAACGTCAGAAATTTATGTGTCTACCTTATTAGGACTATACAAATACGTTTCCTCAATAGTTCATTTACCAAATGCTCAACTTATTCAACACTTTCCAGGTCAAATTTTCGATCCCAAAGTCTATGAAATTCATTTCTAACCATGAATATTGGATATCTTATTCTTTCATATATGTTAATTTCTCCATCTTACTACGCCATTATTTGGTTGATTATATCACTCAATTTGACTTGCATATCTGTATATAATGAATAAGTGACAGAACTTATCTTGCATATACAGACTTATACAGTAGAATATGCGCTATATCTCCCTGATGGTGGGTAGATAAATTTATTTAACTATCCAAGCATTAGTAGATAGGCTTGGATTGAAGGTTATTCACTTATCAGTTATCGACTGGATAAAATTATGAATTTCAATGTTATACGTTGTGAATACAGTTGTAGTCAGTTAGTCTCTCGACTGCACCCGCTGTCCTCTGAAGATGATTGTCTTATTTAAGTAGCGTAGACTTGACCTTGGTTATCCACTTTTTAGCCTCAGTGATACACATGTGATTCATGTTGTATTCTAATGCATTATTTTAGGAGATTGTCTTGATTGTGAATACTTATATTATGAAATTGGTTTTCTATTCATTTTTTCCAAATAGACATCACAGTAATTATGGCATTCTTGTGTGTAGAGTTTCAATCCATTGACCAAAGTGAAGTATGTTAAGAGAGAGAGAGAGAGAGAGAGAGAGAGGGGGGGAGAGAGAGAGAGAGGAAGGGAGTAGTAATATGGAATACAACGCATAGAAAGTTCGTTCATGTCTTAGATTGTCTTTGTAAATAAAGTCTAGACATCCAATCGGTTTGTTTACTGATTTTGGACAAACGCGCTGGCTTATACAAACAAAATACAAGGGAAGCGTACAACAGCTGTAACAATGCAGGGATAGAATTTGGGCACTGTAGTAGAATGCAATTTCCTATTAGATTAATGTATTTGATATGGCACATAGTATTGTGATATAGTATTATTTACTAGTTGACATTTCGAGGAGTAAATAATAACGTGGAATCATAATAATAATTATCTTTTACACTAATACTGGTGGTAACGTTACACCTTTTAGGAGCTCAAGAAAAGTTAACACATTACTTTATATTGTGAAGAACACTATATATTTCCACTAAATCTATCCATCGAATCAGTTTACATCAGCTCGGTATCTAGCATTAGGGTCTTCAGCCACCGACTTTAACTGGAGTCCCAATTCATATACATTAGGAGTGTACATTTGATTTTTCTCAATCATTTTCTCCATTTTGTACTTCAACATGTGTACTCATAAAATACGGGTTTCTTTCCCAATGTATGCGCACACGCCACATTATTATATTAATATTTGTCCCTTGGGTTCCTAGTGGAACATAGGGATTCACTAGCACATCTCCAGTCCACTCTGTTCTCTGCAATCTTCCCAACCTGGCTCCACGACAGCCCATGAGCTCTCATTTCTTCCTCGCACCATCTCCTCCTCAGACGCCCAACCTACGTTTCCCATCTCGGGTCCAGTGGTGGTCTGAGTCCACATCTGCTCCCCTTCTTGACCATGTGTCAAGTAGCCTACGTCTCCACTTTCTTCACATTCAGATGAAGTTGACCTGATTTTTAGTGTAAAGTGTCCATCTGGTGAAATCAATTCCATGTCTCTTCGTGAATATCCTCGTGTTTGTACACACCGCTTCGCCTCACCTCCAATCGCCAATTCGTTGAATGCATAGAATTCTGCAAACAATTGCCCATTCTCATTCATCAACTCACCGAGTGCTTCTCAACCCATGATAAGTTCTCTTCCCCTGTTGTCCGCTCACAGTTTGGCATTCATGTCACCGCACCCATTAGAATTTTTATGTCGCCATCTGGAGCCTTGTCCAATACTGATTGTAGTTGTCTATAGAATTCCTCCTTCTTCTCTTCATCTGCATTATTTGTAGGTGGATAGCGTAGCACTGTATGATTGTGACTTCCCTTCCTTCCTTCCTTCCTTTTGAGTTGAATCTTGCTGTCATGATCCTGATACTGGAGGACACTGGTTCCCACTGCATGAGAGCCTTCGATGCTTGTGGGGACATCATGATAACCACTCGAAAACTCAGTGTGCTCGTGGTTGTCGTCTGGGTGACAATATCAGAGTAGATTATTGACTCTCCAGTTGACAGTTTGGAAAGTCCACTTCCATTCCATCTGCAGATTCCAAGCACTTCCATGCCATATCTCTTCATCTCGTTTGTGATCTGGGCAGTCTTGCTAGGTTCATACATGGTGCGGACATTTCATGTCTCTATCCTTACTTTCGCTTCCATCGAGAGAAGAGAAGAAACATCGGCCGACTTGCTTCCCGAAGACTTTCACCAACCGGCGTCATTTCGTCTCTCCGATTCCAATGAGGAATAAGTTTGTTTTTATTTTTTATATTTTCTTTGTGCTTTGGAGTTTCTTTAAAGATTGAGTAGGTTTTACAGTGTAGGGTTGCTATCCCTATGCCCAACCTTCCCTCTTCACCCGGTCTTAGAACCGACTAGTAACTAGTGAACTAGTTAACTAGGCAGTATATGTCAAGAAAATGGCGACAAATGCAATTGGACAAACTTATACAGGCTGTTATAGTTAAATTTGAGTCATACCTATTTCAGCTAACAATTGTTTTCAATAATTTCTTCTTCTTCAGACGCTATAGTTACATAAATCCATGCGAATAAGTGAAATACAATACCTGATGATATACAGTATTGACCACTATATTGAAACAATCAGTGTTATGCGTGGTGAATTGAGATGAAGTCGGATGGAATCAGTCTAGTCTAGTGTATTAGTTGTACAATGAAATCAATATTGACAGGACAATTACGAAATGAGGAGACAAAATCTACAGATAATGATTCATTTATGTATAGTAATGATGGCTAGCAGTGGAATCCAGTATGCACACTTTGTCGTGTTTGGGACTCGTCAGCTGGATGTATCTGCCTCCCATTGAGTGATGTTGTCCCCACTGGGACTTGGACTCGGGAGTGATCACTTGAAACGCGAGAGCATTATCCACCACATCACCAAGCCACGATAACCACTTCTTAAATGCGCATCGTGGATTCCACTGCTAGCCACTACCCCCATCATTACTATACATAATTAAAACACAGGCATTATCGAGGCATCCGCATAGGAGTCCATATGCCAACAGAGACTGATCAATTCGGTCCAATCAACGACGGTGTAATGTAATACAAGCAATAACACTGATGATTCATTTATATACATTTATTGAGGGGTCATGGATGTATGTGTGTGTGTGTGTATTTGTTTACTAAGGGTCAAATAATAATTATGTTGCGATGACTTATATTCAGGTGCGATGGGAACCATATGAATACTATAACGAAATAGAGAATAACAAATGTGAACTATTACGTCACGGCTGAAAATGTCTACAGGTTGTGATATGAATAAAAAAGAGTGTCAAACCAATAACATGATAAATTGAATGTTTATCAAAGTAATGAGAATACAGAAGAAGAGGAAGAAGGGGGATGAGAGGTTAGAATGTGCAATTTGTGGTGGGAAAGTTCATAAAGAAGGTGTCGACTCTGTTGTGGGTCAAGGTAAACATATTTCTTTCGAAGATATTGGTGCGGCTTTCTTTTTGTGTTGATCCCTATGGCTTCGGGTAAGCATAAGATGCGAAGTCGTGCACCTCTGAGGAGATTGCAAGGGACACGGTATATCTCAAAAAAGCGTGATCTACTTTAATCTGATGTGTTGTGTCTACTAGGTGTGAGAGGACTGGACTGTTAATGCTGTTTGTCATTCCTTTCCTTAATCGAGATGGTAGATGTTGACGAGCGCGCCCTTTGAGTATGGCGTTTGTAAGTAGCTCGAGAGGAGCAGTAGGACTCACAAATGCACATGCATAGGTAACCTATCCTCGGTTTGCTGTGTGAGTGGTGGTTTGGTTGAGACGAAAAGCTGACAAAAAGTTTTGTTGGATTGAATGTCCTTTCGAGTGATCTGCTTAATCGATGTGTTAAGATGTCGAGGCAATGTCACCCTTGAAACTTAATCTAGGATATGTAGGCTTTTTAGCAATATTGTTTTTCTTTATCTTCTCTCTAGGTTTGCGATATATATTTATTTAGGAAGTTTAGCGGATAACCGTTTTCCTGCAATGTTATCTTCAATTTAGTCACTTCTTCTTCAATACAGTCAGTCATCAGAACAAATGTTTCTAATTCTATAACTCACACATTTGACCAGGTTTCTTTTATATTGAATCAGTGTGAAGCTATGAAAGTGAATATATTGACTAGTCCATATGTTCTTTCCAAATATGTATTCCTGTTAATATACCCATCCATTTCTTGTGGTGAGGAGGAGGACATCTAGGAAAAGAATACTATTTCCTTGTTCTTCCTCGGAAGTGAACTTCATATCTGGGTGAACATTATTGAAGGTATTGTATCCATTCTTGCAAATGAAGAACGAATCATCTATATCCCGGCAATAATAGTCGTCTAGTTTATCCAATGTGTCCCTAAGTGCGCCGTTTTCAAGTTTGGCTAAAAAAATGTCCTCTAGCATAGGACCCAGAGGAGAAAGATCTCACTGCAACCCCATCTACTTGTCGATATAATTCGTTGTTAAATCTAAAGTGAACATTCATAGTGCATTTTGGCAGCAATTCCTAAACTCTTTTCGGGGGTATTCCTACATCTATCTATCGTTCTCTTAATCCATCGCAGATATAGTTAACTGTTTCTTCCAGAGTAACATTGGTAAATAATGATGTTATATCCAATGAAATCATCCTCTTGTCTCTACCATTCATATTCCTTACATTTTCTACTAAACTGAATACATCTTTTACACTGAATCTCACCATTTCGCGATGTAGAAGCTCTAGAGCTCGTATTAATAATTTAGCTGTTGAGTTATATCTATTTATTTTGAAAAGTAGTTATGTAATCTGATTTTTGTGGAACCGACAGATACAGAAGTTTTCAAATCTTCGACATACTGTTTAGATCACTAAGCCAGTAAGCTGCAACCTCACAATGATAGAACAAAGCTGAAAAAGCAACCGGATTACTAGCGAAGAGTAACCTTGCACGCTTTGTTCACTTATAGTTGCAACATTTGTATACTCAATGTGTGTTTCAAGTGTTTTACGCCAGCTCAGTGTATTGAGAGTAGGGTTTACTACATGTATACGTGAAAAACTGAAAATTAACGCTTACAAACTCCTAAATAAGTTTGCAACTATGATTTCTAGACTGTAACCTACCAGTGGGTGGTAGTTTTTCGTCTTCAATGTTCATTGTGCTTTTCTTTGGATTCTTTGTTAGGTGGTGTCAGAGTGACACTTACAGGAATATCTGTGTAGGCACAGTGACCAAAACCTGCGTTTGTACAAAAGTCACCTTTTGCACGATCTAATTGTCAGTTGTGAAACCAGTGACGAAGATATCTCATTATAAGTTTACTTCACTACTACTACTACAACCCTTAATTTAAAAATAAGGATAGTGATATTTATTTATCTCTTTGTGCACTGATTTATCTTTCATACAAGAATTAAACAAGGGTATTCTGCCTAAGAACCAGGACAATTGCGTTTTTATTTCAGTCTATCGTACTTCACTGCGTTGATTTAATAGAGCTCAGTGATTGGTTTGCGTGCTTCATCATATAACACAACACACCTTAGAATTAATAATGTTTCAGACAGTGACCTTTCAAACAACTAGTCTTTGAGTTCCAACCTTGTTCCGCCTGAGGAGGATCGACAAGTTGATCAGTGTAGTTAACTTGCGTGCTATAAATATACTACCTCATATCTTTTTAAAAATCATTTTTGACTGTCTAGATAGCCATGATTTGCGAGACTAATATTGATACTAGTTGATGATTGAAGGTGTGAGTAGGATCAAGCGGTAGTAATGCGTCACGAATTCACACGGCAGTCAGGCAAATCCTTTGGTGATTGAATTATGAAATAAAAATCTAAGCAGCAATTGGACAGGACCTCATAGGTGAGTTGGTAGAGCATTGTGTCAGAAACTCAATGGTCGGTGGTCCGAATCCGGCCGTGGTCCAAATTTTCACATCTTGTTGTTGAGCTGGATGTATTATCTACCCTCTGTCGCGGATCACTTGAAACAACATTGGGATTTCAATTAACTAAGTACTTAGAATCTGTTGGTTATTTCAATGCACTTGTGCTGCTAGGTGTATAGAAATAAATACTTAAGACACTTGCTGAATCTCTTTTTGTTATTCAACAATAATTTGAAATGAGAGATTAGATTCCTCGACTCTTAATTTCGTAGGTTCATATTCATATACATCATCAATGTTAGCCATGGGGATAGTATTAGTAACTTTCATTCAATAATTATGGCTAACAGCTTAGTGGACAAATTCCTTACATAATCAAAGCTATTATTACTCTCAAGTGAAAATGTACAGTCTCTTGGATTCTGCTTAAAGGTTTGAGTAGTAGGGTAAGTCATTGTTTAATATTTTCTTTCCCATGTTGTGTGTACAAGATATAAGTCATGCTAATTTTCTCTACATTCCTTTTGTTTTCTCCTTTTACAGTATACTTCTTACGCCGTTTTATGCGTGAGCGTACTGCACGATACTTGGAACAGTCCACCAGTTTGTCATGTTTAACTCGTCTAAAAGATCAATTGTCATTTGCTGTAACCACTTGTCGGTTTCTTGTTAAATTGGCTCATTCTATGCTGAATAACGATAATATGAATACCTCATTATCATCAACTACCTCGAATTCAACATCTTCTACTTGTTATGGATGTCTTTCTGATTTACCAGAATATTTAGTTGATAATATAGTTGAACTTATCAGTTATTTAAGACGTGCCAAAGATGAATTTCTTGAAGTGAGTTGATTTTGAAAAAGTCCTACTTTTTGTACAATATATAAATAGCTGTCAATTGGTTATGTTAACCATCTGTACTCGCTAACCAGCTCTAGGTAATCTCAATATTGAATGATCATTTTACTTGTTTGGAACTGAGCTAGCTCATTAGTGAATAACCGTGCTTGATTGTTCTCTGGAGGTGACTTCTTTAAATTGATCACGAAGAAGTATTCATGACAGCGTTGACATCATCCGAAGGATAATGTAAAACCTTGAGGTAGTGGGTTGTTGTTTGGTCCTTGTTTAGTTGTTCTAATTAGCATATTCTCACGTTCCTATTGGATCATGGAGTTTCACGTCAATCATCTTACCATTCGATTGCAATTCAAAAACCCACATCTACCGTGTACAGTTTTGTGATTTAACATGATCGCCAAGCAGTGTGACCAGCAAGCATCTACCTCATACCGGAGATCCGAATCGTTATGACTTTGCATTAGTAATTGAGCTGTGGTTCACTGGTTTAGACAGTTGACTTTCAACAAGTTTGAACTTCGCTGCACTTATCAAGATTTAGGCAGTCAGATGGTATCACTAGCTGTTACACAATAGGCGTGCCACATTGCCTCTACTGCACGGACGTGCACGTAGTTGATGAGCTCATTACGGTTTTCTGATTTCGCATTCATAATTTAAGATGTTTATCTCTAAGCAAGTCATTAATTTGCCCTGAATAGTACTGATAATGAATATTTCATGAAACATGAGATAGACCAGATCGCTGATTGGATATGAGGTTTTAGGAGGAATGATTTATTTCAGAGCGGTGTTTATCCCGGATTGACACTAACTGGAAAGTGTGGAAACTTTCGAATCATTGGATAGCTATTTATTTTTAGGATATCACTACTCAACAGTGCACGATTCTGATCTTACTAGAGAAATAGTCCCAAATAATAAGGTTTTGCAAACCTAAATCAATCCACATTTTTGTTTTTATTACATAAGGTTGTACTACATGGTGTATATTTTCACGCCTTTGTGCATACCGGGCACATTATTTCCGTAGATAATAATTATGAACCTGGTTTGTACATAAGAATATTATTTTATATTTTGTAATGACATCCACACTGATAAAGTCGTTGACTGTCTGTTTGAGCCATGAAGGAAGATATACACCATCTGAATGGTTGTCTGTGAGACAAGAGAAATCGATAATGAGTATGCTGATTCATCCCTCAACCTGCATACGTTTTAAAAGTTTTATTGATACGGATCTCTTTCCCGCTTTGTCTCTATTACTGCTATCTCTATGCACTGATGTGAACAGCAGTATCTTAGACTGATGGGTAAACATGATACGTTGCTTACGGTCTATGTTTTTCTCTTAATTTCCCTCTCTCTTTGAATAATCTTCTTTGGAAAATTACGAAAACTGTTTTCTGATGATAATGGTTATTTTATTGTAAGAATAAGTTCCGATTACCATTACTTTAGTTAGTGACTAGACAGACGAAACCAACATAAAACCTCACACACAGAGGCATCGACTCAAATTACCACACTTCATAGTAGTATACAAAGGATAGGTTGATAGAAAAGGAGTGATATTAAAGTGCGTGAAATTGTGTGGGAGAATAAGCAGTATGATGACAAAGGTTAGTGCGAATATTCAAGATTTAGAGGATGTTAAGGAGTGAATACATCTGCGTTGTTGTGACTGATTTTCGGCCACGTCACCAAGATTCCTCAACCACTGATTCCTGTCGTCTTGAGGACCCAAGCCAGGCAGTCTATATCTCCCCACACGACTCAAACCATTAGTCATGGACTCCATCAACTAGTGGCACGTTTTCATCTAACCACACTGAACCATCTCCCAGCCTAATCCACCTGGCACGTGGGGGTAGGTGGCGGTTTGGCATGCGCAGCAAAGATCCAAGGCATCTCAGTCGACTAGGGTTCACAATATCATCAAATCAACTTGTCTATCTTGCCCATTCGCTGACCAACATTACTCACACGGTAATTCCACCACACGCGAGTAATGCTGCGAAGACACCAGTGATCAAAATTCCGCAACTACTTCGTGTCTTCTACCTTTAATCCCTGTCTCACAGCCGTACAACTGCAGTGCAGTATACTCGTCCTTGTACAGATAGTCAGATATCTTGCCAGTCGGCATCACAGGTGATGCATGTTGGTAAATGCCAAAGGGATCTTCTGTATCCTAGTTGAAATTTCGTCAACAACCAACCCGTTCGATAGCAACTGATGCAACTCCTCTGGTAGGTGAAGTGGTCGATACATTCCATCACTTCACTCATTATTCAGCTGGGAGTACTTGCAGCAGACCAGTCCTGGAGCATCATAGATGCCAGAGAGACGCATGTCAAACGTACTCAAATTTCTTCTCAATGCGTTCAGACCACTCTGCACTTTGTTTTCAATGACTAGAAAGTATTTTTATGTATTTCTTATCGAAATGAAAGTGATAATATATTTCCGACAATTTCTTGATTACTCCACAGCCACTTTATGGTTCATAGTTATCTAGACTGTACAGTTCAGCAATAATAATGTTTTTGATGAAAGTGTACTTAATCACTCTCTCAATCTTACACTTTATCTGTTTTTCTTACACATCTACTTCTATCATCTATTTTTCTTCGTTTTGTTTCTCTAGATGATATTATCATCTTGTTGTGATAATTTGTACTGTATATACTCATGTTACATCATAGCAACTTTATAGTATGAATTCAAAGCTATGTATGTAAAGTGGTCATCTTTTTAAAAAAAATGTATATCAAGATTAATATGAAAAATATCATTTAAAAATAATTTTCTTTTTTCAACTAACCATCATATATACTCGCATACAAATAAACAAAGCATATGCATATGTATAACAGATCAATTATGCACCATGCTATTCATTATCTAGGTTATTGTGCGTGGATAGAATTGTATTGAAAATTGGTTATGATTGAATATACTAACTAACTGTAAATGATTGGCTGACTGAGTGAGCAAGTATCTCTTCAGTAATTTGACTCCCTCGAATTGTCTGCACTTATACATTATTTATGTATAATATAATATTAGGCAGTTGCCAGTGTTTAGAAAGTTGGTATTATGAGTAAGTGAGAATTAAATCAGATGAAAATAAATGATAAAGGTTATAAAATTATTAATGTTTGGAACAGATCTTTCTTAAAGTAGAAAGGGAAAAAGGCTGGGTATTCATGGTGGCATGATGTAAATATACAATATTAGTGTTCGTTCAGAATTAATTTGGTCCTGTTATGGAGAAGGGCAAAGTGAATGACTCTGTATACTTCTTTTGGTCTAAGTCACTGATCATCCCAGTCTTCAAGAAAGGCGAGAAGTCCTCTTGTGATAACCACAGAGGAATCAGCCTGACAAACATAGTGTCTAAGATCCTAAGTTCTATAATTCTCCGACGCCTGAGTGGAGCTCGGGAACAGCAAGCCCGAGAAAACCAGGCAGGCTTTAGACCTGGCCGTGGATGTATCGACCAAATATTCACACTGCGCCAGGTCCTGGAACATAGGCATGCTTACAGACGCCCGACAATAGCTGTATTTCTCGACCTGAAGGCGGCATTTGACTCCGTTGATCGAGAAGTCTTATGGCAGTGTCTGTCACTGAAAGGCGTGCCTAGTAAGTACATCACCTTATTGAAAGCTCTCTACTCGAACACTTGTGGGCATGTTAGAGCCTATGGTGAGTTGTCCAGGGAGCTATACTCATCAAGTGGTGTCCGTCAAGGATGCCCACTATCCCCATTCTTATTTAATTTTATCATAGATATTCTTATGGAGGTTTCCCTCTCGTCACCTAATTACAAAGACGTTGACCGGACCACAGGTGAATTTTCCTTAGATCTAGAATATGCAGATGACATAGTCCTGTTAGGTGAAGACGCTGACAAGATGCAGAGTCTTCTGAACACTTTGAGTGGGAATTTGAGAATGTTTGGGATGCGATTTTCACCACCCAAATGCAAATTTTTGCTCCAGGACTGGTCTTCAGCGGTACCGCGGTTAACAATAGAGAGTGAAGTGGTTGAGTGTGTTGACCACTTCACTTACCTGGGAAGTAGGATCAACTCCGGTGGGTTAGTTGCCGATGAGATTTCTGCACGGATACAAAAGGCTCGATTGGCTTTTGCCAATTTGCGCCACCTATGGCGCCGCCGTGATATTCGTTTGTCTATTAAGGGTCGCGTGTACTGCACAGCAGTCCGCTCTGTTCTACTGTATGGCTGTGAAACATGGCCATTGAAAGTGGAAGACATGAGAAGGTTACAGGTATTTGACCACCGTTGCCTTCGTAGTATAGGACGTATTCCGTGGTGTCACCATGTGAGTAATGCAGAAGTTAGGTGTAGAGTTTTAGGGAGAAGAGGTAAGTCAGTCGACGAGGTTGTGAACCTTCATCGACTGAGATGGTTGGGACACGTACTACGTATGCCTAGTCACCGATTGCCTCGTCACACAATGTTGGCTGAGGTGGGTTCAGGCTGGAAAAAGGCCCGAGGTGGCCAGACTAAAACATGGCACCAATGTATGAAGTCTCTGACTGTTGGTTTAAGCCATGTAGGACGATGCAGACTAGGTGGTTGGGGTCCACGGGACAAGAGGAACCAGTGGTTGGAGACCCTAGGTGATATGGCTCAGAACCGAAGTCAGTGGCGCAGATGTATACACACATTATCCTCATCTTAACAACGCTATACCGAATCTCACTATTTTGTCACTCCTCTTTCCTTTCTTCTCATACTTTATATTTCTTTTGACTGCATTCACTTATCTTCATCCTTCACCTCACTACCTTTTTACTTGATGTGCTGATATGAGGTGTGGCAACTCGGACCGTTACGCAGTAATGCCTGGTCCTATGTTGATAATGATGATGATGATTTGAATGAAAATTATCAGATTTTCTCATTTCAACTTCAACAGCTTCTGGTATCAATAAAAAGTATAATCATTTATCTTCTGGTAAATAGAAAAAGTGAACCATTGTATTCTACACACGCTTTGTTTTACTCTTATTCCATGCTTCAGAATTTTGAAACATTTTCTGTTTGTCTTACATTGGCTCTTGCCTAATAATACTCATCACTTGAAACTTTTATCAAACTTGAGCAGGCGGCCGGTTCTGGAAACCATTGTAGTGCAAAAATATCCTCACTGTCTCCATTCTTATTCAGTTTTATCATAGATATTCTTTTGACGGTATCCCTCTCGTCACCTGATTATACAGAGGCTGACCTAATCGCAGGAGAATTTTTGTTAGATCTAGAATATGCAGATGACATAGTCAGTCCTGTTAGGTGAAGACGCTGACGAGATGCAGAGTCTTCTGAACACTTTGAGTGGGAATTTGAGAATGTTTGGGGTGCGTTTCTCACCACGGAAATGCAAATTGTTGCTCCAGGATTGGTCTTCAGCGGGACCTGGACTAACAATAGAGAGTGTAGTGATACCGAATCTCACCACTTTCTCATTCTCCCTTCCTCTCTTTTCGTACTTTATATTTCTTTTGACTGAATTTTCTTATCTTCATCTTCCAGTTCACTTCCTTTTTACTTGATGTAGTAATATGAGCTGTGGCATTCCGGATCGTTAGGCAGTGATGCCTGATGCTGTGTTGATTTGGATGGATGGTTGTAACTCAGAAACTAGGTACAGATTTTGTGCACTAGGTGATGAGGTGCACATGTTGTCTATCAACACTAGTGATGCTATCTGACCGTTCAGATCTCTGTGAATGGAGGGAGCTTTGAACACGACCCACTGGTTGAAAGACGTGCTCTTATGACTAATGAGTCATAGACTGCTGTAGAGACAAAGACAAGATCAACTTTAGAGCAGTCATTACTGCGTAACAGTTCATGCTGCTACTATACCTCATATCAGCACATGAAGAGAGAAGGCAATAAGATGAGGGAGACAGAAATAGAGAAGAAGGCAGTTGAAGTGATAAAAGGTCGTAATAAGATAACAAGACTAATGAGCCTTTGTGTCTTATGTGATTAGATTTTCATTATTCATCAACAATTTTTTGTTATTTGTTAATTATTTCTGTGGAAATCACATAGTTTACACCAGTACTTACTGTCATTTATAGTGGTCAACATAAATTGTCAAGGAACATGCCTTTCTAAGAAAACAGTACAGTATTGACTAGTTCAGATTGCGTTTTCTACACTTTACCCTATGAGTAAACCTATTTTCTATAACAAGGAACAGTTGTGTATGTAATTGTGCTTGTTTTATTCCCTAAATTTTGAATTCCTGTATGATAATGTAATTGATAACTGAGTTTTTCTTATCATTTTACAAGTATATTTCATCATTTATTACTTTCATCTCTTCTATTTAGTCTGTTGAAGTGCTGTCTATCCCATTGGAACCACTTTTAGAATTCAGTGTTGTATTTATGAATCATACAAGATTGCTGACTAACCCACATTTAAGAGCTCGATTAGCTGAAGTTCTTGAATCTTTAATACCTCAACGTGATGATGAAGCCTGGAATACAAATTCTGGTTCAGGATTATTAGGATCGTTTCATTCATCTTTGTAAGTCTATGGATTATAATCTGTTATATTATTGAAGAATTTATGCGCAAATTGTATTCTGTCTATGCTTTCTACCTATTCATCCATCGACTGTGATTTTAACATAGTTGTTGGTGGTCATAGAAAGCTATGTAAGGCTTAAAAATTTGTTGTAGCAGAAGAATTTAGTATCGAATTTAAGTGAAAAGAATAAAAATGTCTGGTATTTAAATGGAGTATGGATCTATTTTATTTCAATGTTCCTAATCACCTGCTTCCAAACTCAAGCAATTTTACTATCAGTTTATACATTTATGAATTTTATATCATTTTAACTGTATGAGATAGCCATGGTGTGGCAGACTGGTATTGTTACTTGGTGAAGTGAAAATTCTAGCCACGGCCGGATTCGAAACAGTGACCATCGGGTTTCCGACACGATGCTCTACCAACTCACCTATGAGGTCCTGTCCAATTGCTGCTTAGATTTTTATTTCATAATTCAATCACCAAAGGATTTGCCTGACTGCCGTGTGAATTCGTGACGCATTACTACCGCTTGATCCTACTCACACCTTCAATCATCAACTAGTATCAATACTAGTCTCCCAAACCATGGCTATCTCAGATAATAGTCAAGTGATAATCAATATGATACCCCCCCCTCTGTGATTCGATTAGATTTGGATTGGGATGAGAAAATCTGATTAGACATCCAGTGTGAAGTCCGATCAAGCAGTAGTAACAAATCATGAGTTCACATGGTAGTAGGGTTAAAACCCTTGGTGATTGAAGTTAAATAAAAATCTGGTCAGCAGTTGTACATCGTAGGTGAGTTGGTAGAGCATCGATCGAGCCAGAAACGAAGGTGGCCAGTGGTCCGAATCCAACCGTGGTCCAAATTTCCATTTCACTTTCAATTAACACCCAGTATTGATTGATTTACTTTTTATTAAAAAATGAATTCAGTTTCTCATCCCCTTCCTTTTCTTCACCACTTCCACATCAATGTCTTATTTGCATAGTCTTTGATTATCCACACATTTCATCTTTTAGTATTACGCAACTTTTATCTTCCTGAATTTTGACCCCCATTAATAGTAGGTTTGTCATTTTACAGAATAGACGGGTCGGATATGTATTCTACAGCAGAGGCTGAATATGAGGAGGAAGCAAGTGTCTTCAACTTATTGAGAAAGGTTATTTAAAATATGTGTAATAAGTGTCATAGGATTTGTCTGCTAAGAAGTAAGGTCAGGGGTGTGAAATAGAAACAAAAAACGTGTATGATTTGATAATGACACGTAAAAAGCAACATAAGTTTTGCCATGGTATGCTACCACTTCAGAAAAACACAATAAATTCGAATTCATCTGTTTATTAACTATTTTGAACGATTTTTGAAAAACAACTTTATTTCTACTATCAATAAGGTGATGAGGACTAAGGCTGTTGGAATACTTTCCTACTTGTCATGAGTTCCTTGAAATACGCTCAGACATGCAGTCACACGCTCTTTTAGTTCTTTGTATGTATTTGGTTTGGCACGTACATATGAACTGGGATATGTAGTTATCACTTTATTAGCATTCAATCAGTAATTACTGAATTTTATTCAACGTATTTTATGCACTATGTTGCAAAAACAGTGTCGAAAACTGTATGGTATCCTTCACAGATGTTTGAGAAGGACTGCCATTGGATTATCAATATCCCTTATTGTGGCAGACGTATTTATAGATATTTGGGAACAGATTTCCCTTCAAACATTTAGTCCCTACTTCAAAGCTACGGTTCCGATATGTAGATAATACGCTTACAGGTTCTTGGCACATATAAATCCAGTAGTGAATGCAATTCAATTTACCTGTGACTCAGAAAGTGATGAAGGTGAGCTAGCAATGTTGGATTGAAAGATTAAACGAACACAAGACGGAAGTTTAGAGACTTGTATCGATAGGAAACCTTCCTATTGGAATCGCTACTTAAACTTCAAATCCTCTCACCCCTTTCAAGTTAAAGTAGGCTTATTTAAATGCTGAAGTGATAGGGTGAAAAAACTTAGTAGTAAACCAGAAAATCTACGATAAGAAGTTAGACATATCAAGAATACCTTGCGTCTTAATAATTACCCACCAAAATTTATAAATAAATTCATAAGAAATTGAAAAAAAAAAGTTAGTGGTAGTAATACAGGTGTTATTAATAATAATTCTACTACCAATGGTAATAATGGTGGCAGCGTTGTTATCATACAAGGAAGGTAGGTACCTTGGAAGCATTACATAAGAGACTGCGTTTGGACAACCGTATCCGAGTTAATGGACTCCATAAAACTCATCCTATCCAACTCTTAGCATGATACAATGTTGTTATGATGTGAAGACCGATTGATTGGCTGTTTGTTTCAGTTTATCTCACTGTAACGTAATGTATAAAGTTTTGTTAGATGAGATTTTGCAGGTCTAACTCATATTCAAATGATAATCACTTCAAAATTATCTTTTGATAGGTTACACGGTAGTAAAAGTGTAAAATGTACTGTCTCGGTTCAGGTTTAGGTATACTAAAGATGAGTGGATTCAGCGGGAAAACGTATCTAGTGGAAAATAGTATTTCACTAAGATTAACGAAGGTACCACTTGTATGTATTAAGGTATTTCACATAGAGTCTCAGATCACCCATTTTTATATGTCTAAGCAAAAATTTACTTAGAATAGGACTTTCTCTAGGTATGCTGATGATTCAGTTGTTTTCTCTCTGTATATATGTATATCTTTTTTATAGCCATAGACGTGAACAATTAATGAATCGTGATCCAGAAATAATTGATGATCCTGTGTTAGGAAATACTGTTAGAGCATTACTCACTGCATTTGTATCTATTGAATTATCACCTGGCACTGGAGTTGTTGGTAGTGCTGGTAGCGCAGCTGATACAGTTATAGCTGCATCGTCTACATCACAGAATTCTTCATCTCGTCATAATAATTCACAAGTGAATAATACTGAAAATCAACATTTCAGCGATATTGGCGCTGGGGTTAGTAATGATAATGATGATGGTAATGGAGGCGGAGGAACACAAGCTACAGATACTCAGGCTGCATCTGTTGGATTCGAAGAAAAGTTTCACTATAGACGACCAATGTACGCTTGCCTAAGATATTGGCATGGTAAACCATTGTATGATGTACAGTTTAAGGTGAGAAGTTCAATATCATGTTATTAATTTAAATTCTAATATATATATGTATATATCCTACTTTATAATGCTCCGTATAAAGTATGGTTTTTATTTTCATTCATTTTGCTTATTCCTGATATCAAAGTTCATTCGGATTAATATTCATCAGTCAGCTTAAAACTAGTATTATGTTTCAGTGTCGATTTCATGCACGAATTCTCTTTTATGAATTTGTAAAGAGTAAGAACAGCAATAGGAGGTGTAAAAATAGAGGGAACATATTCACAGCGGAGCGTTAGCATATACTGTACAATCGTCATTGAACTTTGACACACCATCATGGGATCAAATGCTATCTCATCGCCCTTGACAGATCTAACTCAACATCATTGGAGCATATAGTAGACTAGGTGACCCATCGTTCTTCTTGTCTTTTTCTAAATCTCCAATATAAGTTTGCCAATACCTGGACTTGATTTTTCCAAGTAAGTATTTTGAAGTAATGATATATGACTGTATGTTTCCGTTCCGGAATTATGCTCCTATCCACCCCAAGCATAATATTATGCCACATCATCCCGGAGAGACTAAAAAATGCTCTACATTCAAAATTACGACCGGAACAGACTGGCTGGCTGGCTTCAGTAATCATTTCAGTCCTGATGTCTTGCAAACACTAGAGAAGTGAAATAAGGATAATTCTGTTACCTTTTTGAAGAATTTTCTAAACCTTTTCTTTGAAACGATACAGTTATGGTTATTTATATCAATGAAAAGTTTACATACAATGATAAGTTACCATTTGACTATCTGAGATAGCCACAGTTTGGCAGATTAATATTTATTTTGTGTGATGATTGAAGGTGAAATGAAAATCTGGACCGCGGCCGGACTCGAACCAACGGCCACCGGGTTACCGGGCAGGTACTCTACCAGCTGAGCTACGAGGTCCAACTGCTGACCAGAATTATTATTTCACTTCAATCACCAAGTTTTTATTTCGGTAATATATTGAGCGAAATTACTGCCCGTGATCACATCAACAGCTGGAATGTTTTAGCAGTATTTATTCACACATATTTATTACCACTTTGACTATCTCAGATAACCATGGTTTGGCAGACTAGTATTGATACTAGTTGATGATTGAAGGTGAAATGAACATTTGGACCGCGACAGGATTCGAACGGGTGACCATCTTGTAGATCAGTTGGTTGAGTACCAGGCTGGAAACCGAGTGGTGACTGGTTCAAATCCAGCAGCGCTGCAAATTTTCATTTTTCTTCCAATCATCACCCAGTATCACGCATATTTACCAGTAGGTGTCATATATTTAGTCTTTCCTCATTGTTTGTTAGTCTGTTCCACACAATGTTCCATACGGCTAACAGTTGTGTTGATTCATTTTCGGTGCATATGTTAGAGGTGAGATACATAAATACGGATTCTGTTATTAACCTTTCTTTACATTTGTTTTTGTTTGACTCTAGTGTGTTAATATTGTTCTAATCTGTGTTCTGTTTTTCATCCCATGCATGAGTTGCTACTACCGGTGAATGATTTCCCAATTTTTTGTACTTCCATTTTCGTTATTCCTTGATGTTTATTCAGTCGAATTTTCAATGATCGTGATCTTTGTCTTACACAGCTTATAAGACATCTGCACACAGTATTTTATACACCACATTATTCGTGTCCAATTTTGTACCCGGATCTTTTGGCTAATTCAGTTTGTTTTCTATCACATTTGCTTGTTTAAGTGCTGTGAAAGTACCAGCCTTTCTCATTCAGAACGACAATAATATGAGCAAACAATTATTTTCAATAATTTCTCTTCTTCAGACGCTATAGTTACATAAATCCATGCGAATAAGTGAAATACAATACCTGATGATATACAGTATTGACCACTATATTGAAACAATCAGTGTTATGCGTGGTGAATTGAGATGAAGTCGAATGGAATCAGTCTAGTCTAGTGTATTAGTTGTACAATGAAATCAATATTGACAGGACAATTACGAAATGAGGAGACAAAATCTACAGATAATGATTCATTTATGTATAGTAATGATGGCTAGCAGTGGAATCCAGTATGCACACTTTGTCGTGTTTGGGACTCGTCAGCTGGATGTATCTGCCTCCCATTGAGTGATGTTGTCCCCACTGGGACTTGGACATATATTCAGGTGCGATGGGAATCATATGAATACTATAACGAAATAGAGAATAACAAATGTGAACTATTACGTCACGGCTGAAAATGTCTACAGGTTGTGATATGAATAAAAAAGAGTGTCAAACCAATAACATGATAAATTGAATGTTTATCAAAGTAATGAGAATACAGAAGAAGAGGAAGAAGGGGGATGAGAGGTTAGAATGTGCAATTTGTGGTGGGAAAGTTCATAAAGAAGGTGTCGACTCTGTTGTGGGTCAAGGTAAACATATTTCTTTCGAAGATATTGGTGCGGCTTTCTTTTTGTGTTGATCCCTATGGCTTCGGGTAAGCATAAGATGCGAAGTCGTGCACCTCTGAGGAGATTGCAAGGGACACGGTATATCTCAAAAAAGCGTGATCTACTTTAATCTGATGTGTTGTGTCTACTAGGTGTGAGAGGACTGGACTGTTAATGCTGTTTGTCATTCCTTTCCTTAATCGAGATGGTAGATGTTGACGAGCGCGCCGTTTGAGTATGGCGTTTGTAAGTAGCTCGAGAGGAGCAGTAGGACTCACAAATGCACATGCATAGGTAACCTATCCTCGGTTTGCTGTGTGAGTGGTGGTTTGGTTGAGACGAAAAGCTGACAAAAAGTTTTGTTGGATTGAATGTCCTTTCGAGTGATCTGCTTAATCGATGTGTTAAGATGTCGAGGCAATGTCACCCTTGAAACTTAATCTAGGATATGTAGGCTTTTTGGCAATATTGTTTTCTTTATCTTCTCTCCAGGCTTCGACATTTACCATTTCGTATGGTAATACCATTGTCTTCGTGTAGTTGTCTTTCGTATTTACTCCTGTTGTTGACTTTTGTTGCTTGATTTAGAAATCCCTCTGGGTGGTGTTTCTGTAATAACATTTTGAATAAGACATTCATTTCTTTTCATTGGTCATCAGGGTGATGTCGTTAATTTACTTATTCGGTTTACCGGACCCTACATTACCCCCTAGTTTTACTGTGGTTGGTTGGGCTGTTTGGTATATTTTTTTTGCATAAGTTCTGCTTGCGAAATTATGAACAGGCATGCAGCAAGCGTTCTCCATTTCGGGAATGGGATGATATGTTAGTTAGTACTAGGTTACTGTTGGATTCATTCACCTTACTCATCTATTACTGTCTAGAGCTACTGATCAGCGTTATTCTTTACCGTGTTGACTTATTTTCTCCTCGTTTTAAATCATATTCATTCTGGATCATTAGTGTCGGTATATATTTCACTTGATTGATTCCTATGATGCTACATCTTTTCTTTGACAATACCTTTTTCCAAAAGAGATAGGGTTTCGCATGCCCTTTTTTCATACTGGTCTATTCTTTTTCTAGGCTTATTGTTTATGCTTGTCAGTAATGTTGTTTATTTCACCAATGTTTTTCATTTATTATTAAATAAACTTCTTTTTACTGTTTCCTTTATTCAGCGGTTGGAAAGTGAAGCTTTAGAACACATTGACGATGCAAATCCTCCCTTATTTCTACAATTTCTCTCCCTTTTGGTAAATGATGCTATCTTCCTGTTAGATGAAGCGCTTAGCTTATTAGCTCAACTAAAACAAACTGAACGAGAAAGAGATAAATGCGGTGGTAGGTAAGTCACCAGTTTGTATCTCCTTTGTCCACTGGATGTGTTATAAACCCGAATCGGTTGACGAAACGAAAATATATAAAAAGCACTGAGTGGATTCATTCTATTCCTGTTGTACATTGACGCCTGTTGTTTGCAAAAATACATGATGTGCTAGTCGTAAAGCTCTCACTGTCATTCCAGATTATATCATAAGCGTAAACTTCGGAAAGAAGTTTGAAGTTTGTGCTGATGATTAAGATTAATATAGGTGTAACACTTGGGCACTGTGGTACAATTTAATTCCATATTCGATTTGTTTATTTGATTTATAACACACAGTGATCTAGTATTATTCACTTGATGACGTTTCGAGCATAAATTATCATCACTCATAATCATAATCATATCAATGTAATCACACTACTTTCAACATTTGATTTTTATAGTCACGTCACCTCATATGAGTTGCTTTTATTAGTTACTAAAATTTTCCATACCTCTGGTATAGGTGTTGCATCATTTCTGTTACATGTGTTGAGTGTTGATTCGCAGAACAAAAATTCAGTAATCAATCTCTCTCTCCACCTATTTATACAGGACTTAAGTATAGTGACTTTATTCCACTCAGCCTCTTGTGTGGTTGTATGTTAATCCGTGCATAGCAATAGCCCAGTACTTTTCCAGATTAGTGATCTGTCATTCTATATTCTATTTAGCTAAATTCCTGTGTTCAGCTATTCTGACCCCGACCGGCTAGTTTCACCTATTTACTTAACCTAACTCATAGTCATTACATGGAATTTGATAGATTAGATTATTTTGTTTAATTGGTTCTATCGGATCCTTAAGCCATACGACAAGGTTTATCTCTGAGTGAGTTTGTAGGTTTAAATGCCACCCTAGTACCAGCTTTGTTGAGGAGCCTATATAAAGCTTCTGATATACCCTTCTTCCAGGGTAACACAATGGAGCCTGTGAACTCTTCTACTTATATTGTCGTTATTATTCGTACTCGTGTGACTGTTATTTTTTTCGTTTCTTGTGTGTCCGTACGAATTTCTTAGCAAACTGTGGACGATAATTATTAACCATTGGGGCTTCTTTGGGCTTCAATTGCTTCTTTAGGTCCTTGCATTGACTAGTATGTTTTCTATCTCTGACATTTACACACTTGACTATTATTATTACTTGGGTTCCTAGTGGAACATAGGGATTCTGTAGCATGCCCCCATTGCACTGTTCTCTGCAGTCTTCAAAACTTGGCGCGACGACTGCCAACAAGCTTTACTTTCTCCATGTCACCTTTGCCACGGATGCCCAACTCGTCGTTTCCCCTTTGGATTCTACTTGACAGCCTGGCGCGTGATGTCCTAAATCCAACCCATCTCCACTTTGTTCCAGTGCATATTTGTTGGGTAACAGGTTCCTGGTTGGTCCGTTCTCGGAGTGAGTTCCTTGTTGCTTATTCTTTCTGGCCATCTCATCACCATCTTCAGTACTGAGCGTAGACAGTTTTTGATGAATGTCTGTAGTTTGTTGGAAGTGCTTTTCGTAACGCGACAAGTCTCTCAACTATCACATCGCAGCACTGACTTGACATTAGTGTTGAAAATCCGGATCTTGTTCTTTGTGTTGAGTGCAGTACATCTCCACACTGATTTCAAGTTAATACAGGAACGCCTATCTTGCTGTCTTCCGATCCTGGCTTGCTTTAACATCCTCATCTGTGCCACTGCCACCGCCTGTAGTTGAAACGATGTTACCTAGGCAGGTAGGTAAGTAGGTGAAAGAGACAACTTCCTCTACATTTCTTCCGTTGATGGTGATCGGTGCTTGTTGTTGGTTGGGTATCTTCATCACCTCTGTCTTCTCTACCTTCACCTGAAGCAAGTCCCGTATTCCTCCGCTGCCTCGCCTCGCCTCACCTCACCTCTTCTGCCGACTTGTTAGTTTTCGCCTATACATCTTCGACTTTGTGCGACAAGACATAAGACAGAGATGAATCATCATCGGTGGCGAAATCCAAATCTACTTCTAGGATCTTTTCATTGGTCAAACAGCGTATGCCAATATTCTCACAGCTCCTCACAGTTCTTTCTTACATGATCCAGTCGAGTCGAGTCGAGTCGAGTCGACCACAATCAGGAAGATCATCGGTGATGGTAGGCGGCAGCCTTGTCTTGTCTTGCTCCTGACTTGACTTGACTTCAAACAAGTCACTGAGCTTTACATTGTGTTGTGAATCACTTGGCATGTAGCCCCATCATATAGCATATAGCTGCTGTGTCAATGAGGTTGATAAGGGTCTGTGGCACTCAAACCGTAGTATTGAAGTAGCTGTCTGCCGGATTACTTCTCGGTCGATGCTGTCAAAGGCCATTTCAAAGTCGACGAAGTTTATGTAGAGAGTTGACTTGACTTGACTGGCATTCTGTGCTGTGTTCTATGATGATGCGTAGCGTAGCGTTGCAATTTGATCCTCACATGATTTGTTTTTCCTGAAGCCAGCCAGCCAACCAGTCTGTTCATGTTGTTATTTTGAATGTAGAGCATTTTTAGTCTTTCTAGGATGATGCGGCATAATATTTTACTTGGAGTTGACAAGAACAGGTGCATAGTTCTGCGCCAGTTCGTTAATAGGCTTAGGTCTCCCTTGTTTTGAAGTTTGACAAGGTAGCCCTTCTTCCAATCAACCAGCAGGTATCTTTCCTTCCTTGCAAACCTTCTGCATCATTGGTGTGAGCGTATCCACTGTTGTTTTTGTGTGTGGTCTAAGTCCTCCTGGCAATTAATAATGCACTCGTAATTCACTATCATTTATTGTCATCTTTTTAAGAGATGCTTTTCAATATGTTTACTTTTCTATTTTTTCACAACCACATGGATATTAATATTTTCTGAAACTGAAGAATACTACTTGCCTGTTCGAAGTTTTATGAGGTTTGAGCGTACTATTCTACTTTTTGAAAGTTGGCATCAATTGAACCAATAAGTCGAAGTTCTATTTTGATTGGGTTCATCGTTTTAAAATACTATTACTGTTAGTTTGTATATCAGAATATTGTCTCAGAATTGTATTCAATGATATTATTTGTATAACTTTATTTCATTTTGAAATTGGCTGCAATGTCTGTTTAAAACTATACTCATTCAGACCACCTGAATCAATGAATTTTCTCTACTTTTCGGTCTACGTATAAGTTTAACCGAATCCACTTAACATGAAGTCTCAATTACCCTTTCGAATGTCTTTCAAAGTTTGTGGTAACAAACTTTTTAATTGACAATTCGCGACTTTTTGCATATACGTATATAAGCTGTTTAAAATAAAATCAGTTTTGTGGCTGAAATATTTATATTGATCGAAAGTATGAAGCTATACTATTTTAAGTGATTTACTGTTCATGTTATATCAATGAGTTGGTGGATTGAGGCAAATGCTTGACACTTATCCCAAACGTATTTTTAAGGCAATCTAACAACAGCTGAAATAACAAACTAGGCTTTTATTTAATGAAAATCTACTCTGTTCCAGTTGGTCCTACTCCCCTAGTTTACAATTTCACTAGTTACTAGCCGGTTCTAAGCCCGGATAAAGAGGGAAGGCTGGGGGTGGGGCCAACGACCCGACCCCGGAAAATCAATCCAATTGCCTAATAAACTTATTCCTCGCTGGAATCGGGGAGACGAAATGACGCCGGTTGGTAAGAGCCTTCAGGAAGCTAATTGGGCGATGTATCTTCTCTCAATGAAAGGAAAAGTAAGCATAGGGACATGGAATGTCCGCAGATTGTTTGAAGCTGCCTGACAAGGCTGCCCAGATTGCAAAAGAGATAGAGGTGCTGGGAATCTACGAGGAATCTGCAGATGGAATGGAAGTGGACTCTCCAAACTGTCAACTAGAGAGTCAGTAATTTACTCCGATTTGGTCACCCTGACGACAACCAAGAGCACACGGAGGGAGTGGCTTTCATGATATGAAAAGCAAGACAGGCCTTCATTAATCTGCACTCAGCATAAGGCATGAAAAAGATCCGGGTTTTGAACACCATTGCCAGTGAAGTCAGCGCTTCTATATGATGGTTAAGAGACTTGTCGCGTTACGAAAAGCATTTCCAACAAACTGCAGACATACATCATCAACAGCTGCCGCCCATGCTCACTCAATATTGAAGATGAGATGAGATCAGATGGCCAGAATAATAAGAATAAACAAGCAAGAACTCTGGCTGACTGACAACGAACCAACCAACCAAGAACTTATCGCCCAACAAATATGCCAAAGAAGAAAGTTGGAATGGATTGGATTGGATATACATTAAGCAAACGGGTAATGGATATCACGTCCCAGGCCAGGCCGTTGAGTGGAAGCCAAATGGGAGACGATGAGTTGGGCGTGCGAGGGTAAGATGGAGGAGATGGTGTGAGGAAGAAATGAAAGCTTATGCGCAGTTGTGGAGCTAGGTTAAGAAGACTGCAAAGAAGAGAGTGAAGTGTTTACGTGCTAGTGAAGCCCTATATTTCACTCGGAACCTAAGGGGCAAATGATAATAATAGTTGGTCCTACCGCTACTAACGTCTCACCATCTGAATCAGAGGGAATACGAGGGCTGTTTAGCATAGTGTATATATGGAGTGTACAAGGTCTTAAGGCGTAGGTGGACTAATTGTAATATCAAAAAATGAAAATAAAAGTGGACACATAAAGGACATTTACCGTTGATTGGTTGTCGCTCTCATTCACTACTCTTGCACCACGGAGCAAAGGGTGATAAGAATTGTTCTGTTTTGTCAACGAAACATTCCCTACTGTTATTTTTTCAGATTATGTTTTAATGTATTTCGTTCACTTATTTCTCCTAATTCACTTATCATTTTCAAATATTCATAAGTAATCCTATGAAGCACCGTCAAATACTATGGGTAAGAGAGGAGAACTGAAAGACGGTGTATTATTTTAAACATGTCCTTCCTCTTCTAGTAGCCTACAGAGCTGCGTTTGTTTGCTCTAAGTGCATTTTGGAATGGATTGACTACAGACACATGACAGACACAAGTACTAATTTCCTAGCTTTCATCACTAAGGTGTTGGAGCAGAATGACCTTGACACGATAAAAATATGCCATCAAAAATTTTTGTGCATGACACTTTAACAGATGGGTTATCATCAATTGACTTGGTTAGGTTATTAGTCTCATGAAAAGATATGCTGTTCGTATTAGGAAAATAGTTGTTTTTGCACCTACGACATACCAAAAACGTAGGTTTCTCCACCTTCTTTCAACCAATAAACTCATGAATTTCATAGATTTTTGACTAAATTTGAAGGTGATTATCATCGTGAGTAATCTGTACAAGCCAACATGCTAAACTACCGCCAGAAAAAAAGTTTATTTTGTGGTATAAAGAAGAGTAGTAGTTACACGCGAAATGCATAATGACTGAACATATGAAAAGTGGTCACTTGTCCTACTGATAGGTAGCGACAAAAAGGCAGCCAATAGAGAAATTGTTTTCAGATTATGATTTATGCATGTACTTACATGATAATGTGGTTGGACAAACTCAAACTCATAATACCAATCGGATTGGTTTATTTATGGCATTATATATATATATATATATATATATATATAATATATATATATATATATATATATATATATATATATAATACCATGTATTTGTCTGATGAGGTTGATGTTCTTGTCTTCTGATTTCCGCGTATCGGTGAAGTATAAGGTGTGGGGAAGAATAGTTGTATTACTCGTATCCAGTCCAAGTATCTCGTTTGCTTCTTATTAGAATCCACTTAATACTCCAAATCAGTCGCATTGCCTACAAACCATTTGAATACTGGGTTGTGAAAACCACTGAACTGTCAATCTTTGATAATCGTAATTGGTGAAAAGTCATTAGTTAATGACGAAATGTGGTTGATAACTAGATTAACTGAAGCTTAGGTGATTAGTAAATTCAGCCGTCCACCATTGACTGACTATTTATGACTAATTAGCATAACACTCATCTTTCCTTAGTATTTTTATGTTAAAGACTTGACTGCATATCTTCATTCTATTTCTTATTATTCTGATTGTTTTGTTTTACTCTACCTTTATCCATCTTCATTTGAATTTCTAAGACAATTTAACAGTTTAATATGTGGACAAAGGTTACATGTGTCGAATACTAGCGTACTCACTGTTCTACTCTATGGAGTGTCTTCTGGAATTAATTATTAATTAGTTTCCTGTTCCCCACTGGATAACGCTTGATACTTCGAGGGATGTGTGCTGGGCTCAAGTCTCAGTGAGAACACTATCACTTACTGGGGTGAAAGTACATTTAGATGACGAGTCCCAAACAAGGCGAGATGCACGTCCTGGATTCCGCTGTGAACCACCTAGTAAACGTTAACATGATGAGTCTTCGGGCAGCCTCAAGGCATCCACTTGCGAGCCCATCTACCAACGGAACTCAAGCAATTCGATCCAGTATGACAACGGGAGATTATAACTATCATGTAAATTTCAATAGTCTATCTAACGGACTGTGGATCCATGTCTGAGATATATGTATATGAGAATCATTTGATGCTTAAGAAATTATTGTATCTTGTAGTTGTTTAATGGCCATCTATGCACTTTACATGATAGAATGATAAATCTATATTCACTGCCTGTTATTTGAAGGAAAGGATATGGTAAACTAAAAACTATGAACTGTTCATTAGATCCAGAGATTTATCACAGGTGGATTGTCAACGATGTTTCCGTTTCATATCTAAACCGATTTAAGCCTGAAGGCTTATTGTAATTTTTTCTACAATAAGTTTTGAAATTAACTAAGACGAATGCATCTCTACTTCTAGAGGCAAACAAAAATGTTATCATGAGGTAAATTAGAGTGATGTAAATGAATGAAACGATCTTTTTATACTTAGAATGTTATTTCTAGTGGCAGAACATATTCCAGATCAGACAGGATATTGTTAAGCTTGCTAATGTGTTCAGTAATTAACTCCAGTAGTTCGAATAATCATCTCTTGCATCAAACTAATCATAGTAATGATGGATTGGATAGTGGCTAGTAGTGGAATCCAGGATGCGCATTTCGTCCTATTTGGGACTCGTCAGCTGGATGTACCTGCCTCACAGTGAGTAACGTTGTTCCCACCAGGATTTGGACTCGCAAGCGATCGCTTCAAACTCAAGAGCGGTATCCACTACACCACCGAGCCACGATAGCCACTTCTTGTGTGTTAGGGGTGGAATCTAGGATGCACATTTCGTGCTATTTGGGACTCGTCAGCTGGATGTACCTGCCTCCCAGTGAGTAATGTTATTCCCATCGGGATTCGGAGTCATTAAATTTTCCATCTTCATCTGATTGTTACAAAGATAGTGTACTCTCATAGTAAATCATGAGGATGTAATTCAATCAGAGTTTCTCTCAATGCTTACAAATTCACTCTTAGGCACATATTTCGTGGTAGTATTCATCGCAGACTCACATCAGTTGGAGAACCATTAGAAAACTATGTGACATTGGACAGCTGTTTCATCCTAGTATGGAACTCCTCAGGAGTGTACGCACTCACAACCTCACCAGGGATCGAACTCAGAAGTTTGAGGTTTAGAGGCAAACATGCTAACCTTTCAGCCGCTGGTTTGGAGTTTAGGTGGTCCACAGTTTCCTACATTTATTTGAATAATAATGTAACATCCAGTGATCAAAGTACAACGTTTCATTTATTATTATCAACTGACTTGAGAATCCTTGTTTCAAGTACTATTGGATAGTTAGAGTCTTCATAAAGTTTATCTTTTCCTGTATATTGTCGATAATACGAAGATATGCTTTATTGTGTACAGAGGTGACTAATGGTTAGAATAGTGAGCAACTGTGTTTTGACCCGGTTATCTACGTCTTCATCGGTATCTGTTGTCAAAACTTGCCATGATAAAACTGAAACATATATTCACTTTTCATTTGGTTCTTAGGGGGGAGGGGGGGGGATATTAACTTCCAATGAAAAGTACTTTAAAATTCAATAGAGAAACCTGTAGCGCATTATTTGTTTTTTAATAAACATTTCGTAAAGCCATAATAAACCCACATGTAGATGGAGGTTCTTTGATAATCCATGAATTCCAATACATACTAGCAAAGTAAATACTGTTTTAAGTATGATACTTGTGAAGATTTTTCTTTCGACATACACTTGTTGCTCTAAGTCGTTTAGTTAGTTGGATAGGGCAGGGCTTGTTTAAGATATTCGAGACGATAGAATCATTGGTTGCAGACTTTGAATGATGTAGTTCCAAATTGACAAAAGTAGCGCTAATGTGTGCAGTTTTTGTCATTTTCGAAATCTTATAAACACTCTCACTAATTTTCATCTATTTATTCTCTTTATTGTCAGTCACTTTTGTCGACTTTAAGATTATTCCATTTCTGACCACTTCTTCATATGGTGTTATGAAGCGTAGAAACTTACATTGATGCACTTTTTGGCAGGTTTTGGGTTGGTTCATCCCTCTGTACGTCTATCAGTTTCAACTAATTTGTGTCTTAGTATTCAGACAAACATTATAACCAATGCAACTGCTGTCACGCTTCGCTAGCAACTGATTATTGTTATGATGATGTCCCTTTCCAATTTTTTGTTTTCGTATCTGATTTCTTAATACTCCCCCGCCCCCCTCACTCGCCTATTATTTTATTCTTCTTTTTAACTTTTAGACTATCGTCTTCTTCAGAGGAAGCGTTATTTGCGCATACAGGTCGATTGGCACGACATCATATAATGCTTGGATTGGATACAATAGCTGCACTACGTCGAGTGATAACTTTATGCTCACAATTAATTACGCATCCAATATTAGTGGATAGAGTAGCTTGCATGTTGAATTACTTTTTGACAAGGCTTGTAAGTTATAATCAATTGATATATTTGTTGGTTATAATCTCATGTACTTCTATTTTTAACTCCGCATCAATTAATACCTTGATTAACTTGTTAATAGTTAATTTTGTGTATGCTTCTGTGGTTGTTGATGTCCAGTGGGTATGCATGCTTACATATTTATGCTTTAAGTTTCTGGAGATTCGGTGGCTAGCTCTTGCAGTCTTGTAGGTGTACATATTGCAGTAGATATTTTGGCAGAAGGTACACTACTCGACTAGTTCGCTGTTAACAGTTACCTATTTGGTGTTCGATTGGAGAATACAATGAAGACTAAGAAGATTAGTGAAACTCTTTGTTATCTTTACGCGATCTCTGTTTACTCAGCTATTAACTACAGCTGAGTTGAATTCTGTTAAAAATTGTCTAACCTCTTAGTGAAACGTTCAGACTTGGTTGTTGCAGAAGGTGAGTTCAATGCAAAAGTGGCTACGCTAAATTAGATAGAAAGATGGTACTTTCGGAATCCAAGCTAGTCATATGAGCAGATAATAACGATTGCCTACTACAACTTTGCTCAGACAACCGTCTATTTCTGATCAATACGAACTTCAACGAAGGAAAAATCAACGGTGATAGGTTAGAGCAGACAGGTTATTCAGACTTATCAAGGAAACTAGAACGAAAAGGTCAATAGTTGGTGAGAATGCGACAGAGAAGGATGGGTATGTGATACATATAAAGAGAAGACAACTGGAGCGATGAGCGATACACTTCGAGGAACAGTTCAACTAGTCTCTACCTACTGTTCCGTTGCCTGCTATTCAGTCAAACTCTGAATGGGACATCGAGATAAGACTCCTAACACCTGCAGACGTTGAGGAGGCTGCAAATTTGAGATGAGGATGGATGGCAGGTCCTAACAGACTACTACCGGAGGTATTTTAGGACAGGCTTGTTTATCAGATTGACTGGCGTATGGGAATTAGATATGATCCCCTCTGACTGATCTTAATCACTGATTATCACTGTCTTCAATAGGCGTGAAAATACTTCTATGATAACGACAGGGAAATCAGCCCGACGAACATGGTGTCTAAGGTTCTAGGTTCGATAATCACTCACTAGACACTCAACTAGAATCTGGTTACAAAGAACCCGGAAAAGCCAGCCAGGGTTTAGATCTGACTGTGGGTGTGTCGACCAGATATTCACTCTGTCACGCTGTCAGTCGCAGGTACACTTAACCGATGTTCGACGCTGGTTTTATTTCTCAACCTAAAAGCGTCACTGTATTTCGTTGACCGATCAGTCTTCTGGTAGTGTCTCTAACTGAAAGAGGTGCCGAGTAAGTACATTACGCTGTTGACTACCCTGTTGAAAACTGTACTCGAGTACCTGTGAACTTGTTACAGCCTACAGTGAGTTGTACACGTCGAGTGGTGTCTATCAAGGATGTTCACTCTCTCTATTTTTATTTATTGGGTGTCATAACGGTACTGGCCTTCATTGATGTCCTGTCTAATAATAGAGAGTGAAAGGGTTAAGCACACTGACTACGCCACTTGCCTAGGAAGTCAGATCAACCCGGGTGGGTCAGTAACCGATGAAGTTTCTGCACAGATAGAAACGTTTTGATTGATTTTCGCGAACTTACGCCTACTGTGGCGCCACAGTGAAATGTTATTTTCTATTAAGCGTCCAGTGTACTGCTCTGCAGTTTACTCTGTTGTGCCGTGTGGTTGTGAAACATGTCCATTAAGGTAGAGGATATGAAAAGATTATCTTTGTAGCATAGACCGTGTGTTGTGGTGTCACCACGTTAGTAACGCAGAAGTCAGGTGTAGCGTTTTAGGGAGAAGAGGAAGGTTAGTTGGTTACGTCACAAGCCCTTATCGAATAAACTGACTGAAATATGCGTTACACATTCCTAGTCACCACCTACCTCAATGCATAATATTAGCTGAATTAAGTGTAGGCTGGAAAAAATGTAAGAAGCGGGTAAGTGGAAACAGGGCATCAGTTCCTGAAGTCTGAAACTATTGTTCTGAGCTGCGTCAGGGTAGACGCGACAACCGAGCTCGTCGGTTGGAGACTCTAGATTATATGCCACAGAAGCGATGACAGTGGCGAAGATGCATCCCACATTTTCTTCATCATAATCGCCATACTGAATTTTTGAATTGTCTTATGCTATGCCTTCATGTTCCTCTTTTCATGACGTTACCACTTTTTGTCTTCTTCCTACCTTATTTCTCTATCTTTCATGTTAATTTAATCTCACTTGATATACATATTGAGATGCGGCAACGTGGACCATTACATAGTAATACTGGATGTGATGTGAATATTGTCTGTTTATTTATACTTTTTTTCAGTCCCAATCATTTTAGACTTGCAAAAGCCTTCATTACCGGTCATTCGACTTTCTATCTAATCTTACAATAGTTGAAATACACTAGTCTAAAGTATCCACTTCGTTGTCATCATGATGATTGATGATATTTTTTCCACAGTGTTGACTTAAAATCATGTTCATTAAGATGTAACTGTTTATTTCAGTAGCTTTTTCATTTTTTATATTGTCTACAAGCCTTTTGAATATCCTACTTCTTCCCAACTGAATTGAGTTATGAAGCGTGTTTTGTTAACACATTTTCATGTGTTGATATTGAACATGTTTTTTCTGCAGAACTAAATTGTTTTATGTAATTTATATATCTTGCTTTATGATGATGGGATAATAATAGCTTACCGATACAAATGGATGACGTAGCTTATCGTCATAAATTTCTATATTTACCCTATTTTTTTGGTATGTATTACGAGACTTTACAACCTTCATTTCATAGATGCTAGTTGGTTGGAGACAATCTGAAGGAATTCCTGGACATAGATTTCATGCTTGTTCGTACTCGTCAGCTAGGCATATCTACAACTTCAAGGAAATGAGATTTGCTAAAGAGATTCAAACTTGTGTAACCCAGTGCTGCAAAGACGTCATCATTGAGCTGTTCTAGCTGAGATTTACTGCTTGTAGGTACATTGATTGTTCGATGGAATTCGACTAAGCACTAAGGACTAGATAGCATTTAATCAGTTTTTCTTGAGTGACTAATCAATCTATGATATTCATTCACTTGATCTCCTTTTTCAAAGTACTTACTGTGGGAAACAAGAAGACATAGACGAAGGAGGGAATGTTTATTTATTAACATGTGGTACGGTAGTCGTCAAATATGGTACAACTTGCACTAAGACAGTCATTTGAAAAATGTGCTTCATTTTCTCTTTTGCTTCTATCTTGATTTTCTCTTAATACGCCGCATTATCTCTTGCTTTTGTCTTGGCCGAATCTTTACCCATTACTGGTAATTCTCTATGATTCCTGCTACCCTCTCAACATATACTACTCATATCCATTCTGATCAACAACTCCCAGTACACTAGGATCAATATACTTAGGGAATATATGATGAAAGTGATCTTTAAACCCAGTGGTAATAACATGTAATTGGAATGATAAAGCATTTTCATTGGAATGGAAAGTTACTTATAAACTCTTTTTTAATGCTTCTTTTCTATTGGTTTTTATTTAACTTATGTTTACGTAGTTTTGAGACATCTAATTAGAAATCCTAGGTGTCCACAAGTGCGCATAAACTAATTCTCCAGAAGAGTTAAGTACTTATTATTATTATTATTATTATTATTATTATTATTATTATTATTATTATTTGAGTATCTGAGATAGCAACCGTAGTTTAGCAGACTAATATTTATACTGGGTGATGAGTGAAGATGAGATGAAAATCTAGACTGTGGCCGGATTAATTAGTGATTGAAGTGAAATAAAAATTCTGGTCAGCAGTTGGACCTCGTATCTCAGTTGGTAGAGCACCGGGTCGGTAACCCGATGGTCGTTGGTTCGAATCAAACTGCAGTCCAGATTTTTATCTCACCTTCAATTATCACTTATTATACATACTACTTATATCCATTCTTATCAGCAACGTCCATTAAACATACTTTAAATGTATCAATGGTGAGGTTGTCAATTTTGATTTAGTTTAGTAATGCCATATCTTAAGATGATTGTGTCTGCTTAATGTCTAAGTAGTTTAAAAGTCACTTACTTTTGAAATAAAAATGAAATTCGGATAACTTATCTGTGAATTATCTTTGAGCATTCGATTTTTTAGATCAAAGTTGAATATTGTGGTAATGATCGAAATAAATAAATATATTTAATGAGACTAAATAAATTTCCAGTTCAATATAAACGTTGGTGATGAGAAAAATATGTCTAGATAACTGATACAAAAGAAATAGCATGAAAAGCTCCTTTTAGTTCACTGAATTGATATTCCTTTTTTTTTTCATCTCACAGTATATTTTATTTATGCTTTCATACATTATTTGTATACAATTTGATAGGTGGGACCAAAACAACGTGATTTGACCGTACGCGATAAAGCTGCTTATGGTTTTAAACCAGATATAATGGTATTAGAGATATGTGGAATATATCAGACATTGGCAAGGGGTTCTGATTCATTCAGTGTTGAATCGGTAAAATCTGGTAAGCTCTCTTTTGGCTCACTGGTTTTCATACTGATTATGTGTGTTTACAGCTCATCATTAAGTTGTCTTGATAACTAGCTGACTGAAATAATATTAAACATTCCATGATTAGCTTTCTAGCATTTGTCTTATTATTATTATTTATCCTTTGGGTTCCTAGTGGAACATAAAGCTTCAGTTACGTCTCCCTTCGACTCTATTCTCTACAGTCTTTTGAGCCTGGCTCCACAACTGCCCACAAGCTTTCATTTCTTCCTTACTTAATTTCTTCCATATCACCCTTGGATGCCCAACTCGTCGTTTCCCATGCAGGTTCCACTCGAGTGCCTGGCGCGTGATGTTACTGGTGAATAAGGACCAAAAATTTGCGTAAAATACAATTAGGTAAACAATAGGTTTGAAATATCAGATTCGTTGAATATTCAAGGCAGTATCACATGTGAATGTATATAAGTCGAGTTACGTCGTCTAACCGTTGTGGAGCCGTGGCTCAGTGGTTTAGGGAGATAACTATCAATCACAGGTTCTTTCCCCACTCCAAGTAACGAGGTTTTGGAAGCCAGATAGTATCAGTAGCCGTCATGCAATAAATGTAGCTGACTGCCTACTGCAGGGATGTGCGCAAGGTAACTCAATACGTTCCGTTTCCTTCATGCCACCGTTTGATAGACACAACTCAAATCACTAATCATTTTGTGGATTCGGAGGTTAAATGGTTACTTCCATCTTTAGAATTTTTCCAAAACCTTTTCAATTTCAAACAGCACTGAAGTCTGAAATCCTAGTACATCCACTACATATACTTGAATCATCCTGATTAATTCCTTTCAACAGTCATTCGTCAATTACTTATCATACCACAATTCAATAGATTAACGTCACATGGAGGAAGAACAACGATTGAAACAGAATAACGTACTATCATTCTATTTCGCCGGCTCCTCGTTAGCTGCGAACAATCCAAAATATTTAAATATCACATCATAAGCGAGTTTGAACAGTTAGATGGAGTTAGTTAACTGGATACAACATCCCTTACAAAAGAATCCTAACGGTCAGATAAGGTAAACAAAACATGCTAACAAGCTTTTATTGTGTTTTTCGTTCAACAGACAACTCAAGAAAGTAGTATGAGTAGTAGTGGGAGATCACTCAAGACCATTAACAAGTAGGTTACATGAAGATCAAGAATCAACAATTTGTGTAATATTGTCGTGAGTTCGGCTAACTCCCTCATCAAAAACTTATCAAGATTTTCTAAAACAGAACCAGGCTCAATCAAAAACATATGTCATCAAATCAGCGTTATACATTCCGAACGGAGATAACACGCACACCTAACTGACAGATAACTTCGCATGCAAGAGCCACCGACTGCAACCGGGGACGAGTAGAGAAGACCGGAGGTGCTGGATGGGAGAATTTATTCCTCCGAGAATAATAATCAATTGATTCATCGAAAAGCACGTGATTATGCATACGCACAAAATATGACCTTGTTCGCAATTTGAGACATTGACATAGTAAGAGTAAGGATCAACCAATCAGCGAATTACATTACAAATGGGGGCAGAAAATAACCTACTAGTCTAGTCATGCTGTAAAAATGGTGTGAAAATGACAAGTTAAAAACGTTCAGATGAATAACAATGTTTTATGGAAGACTGGGGCCTTACAACACCTCCTCTCTCTGAAAAAAAATTAATACCCTCGATTTTTGGAGTCCAGTTGGAAACGAACTGTTTGAGACCGCTTCTGGATCCGTATATCTTCTGTGTTGAGGCTGCTGGTTGATATTGGTTTCGGCTTTTTCCATCGTCGTCGGTAAATTGAACGTATCCAGTAGAATATCGAGTGATGTGGTTGGCTTTTCTGTCACGCATCTGATTCCTGTGTCTCTCCCATTTCTTCCGACCTATCATTATATCGTACATCACACTCCCACGTCTTCCCATGACAACACCCTCCGTCCACATGCCATGTCCTGGTGTGTAATCTCTTATGCAGACGGATTCTCCCTTGCTGAAGTGTGATTCGACTGTCTGCGTTGTTTGTGCACGACGTGATGGTAACATTGCATAGTGTGGCATACATAGCTTCCTTGCCATTAAAACTTCTGCGGAAGACTTGCGATCTGGTAGGGTATCATTTAGTGTTAAGCAATAGACGAGTAGAAATTGTTGTATGACATCCGTATGCCCTCTTCCTCTTTCTGCTTTGAGGAAAGCTCGCTTAAATGTATCAACAAATCTTTCTACCTGGCCATTGGATTGCAGATGGTACGGTGGTGTACGAATATGATGGATTACATTCACATTGAGAAACTCGGCAAACTCGCGGGAGGTGAATTGTGACCCATTAACTGAAACAATGGTCTCGGGCAACCCATGGCAGGCGAAAATATTTGTAACACCAGCAACTGTTCGGCGTGATGATACGGGTGTTACTGTGACGATCTCCAGCCAATTAGAATAAGCATCATATCATCATCATCATCATCAACAACAACAACAACAACCAGATAGTAGGTTCCATGTAATGGACCTGCGAACTGCATAATCCCTTGTGGATACTAATGGGGCCACTGCGTCTTCATCGGGACATCTGACACTACTTCCATTTTGTTGCAGACCATAGTCAGTGGAAGATCGGCGAGTTTCAAACTCTCGAACCAGTCGAAACCCGACAGGTTGAGATTAGCATCAGTAATATTACAAACTCTATCAAAAGTAGTATTTCGAAATGAAACACAACAGTGTAATTGACCAACCAGTTGAAGCTTGACCTGCAATTACAGATAGTATAATAAGACCTCACAAGTTGAATGTGACTTTGTTGCCTTGCTCACAAACAAACCCAGACCGGGTACATAACCAGCATGAATGATGACATAACTTCTAGAAAGTAACCAAGCAACTATATACGTTTTTATACACTATTGCAATAAGCCTATTGTACTGAAGTTGATGAGGGGCTAACAACTTCAAAAAACTTTTCAATTGACCACCACCTGCAACTCGACTGGTAATACCACCAGGAGTCACAAAACTATCAGTGAACACAAACCCTCCAACAAAAGCATAAATCCTGAACGCCATAAGGTTACTTAAAGCCGGGAAAGCAGAAAGACCAGGTGTAATTTCCTCCAGAAACACTGAAAACAGACGCAGAGACAACAGTGGACATGCTCACACCAATGATGCAGAAGGTTTGCAAGGAAGGAAAGATACCTGCTGGTTGATTGGAAGAAGGGCTACCTTGTCAAACTTCAAAACAAGGGAGACCTAAGCCTATTAACGAACTGGCGCAGAACTATGCACCTGTTCTTGTCAACTCCAAGTAAAATATTATGCCGCATCATCCTAGAAAGACTAAAAATGCTCTACATTCAAAATAACAACATGAACAGACTGGTTGGCTGGCTGGCTTCAGGAAAAACAAATCATGTGAGGATCAAATTGCAACGCTACGCTACGCATCATCATAGAACACAGCACAGAATGCCAGTCAAGTCAAGTCAACTCTCTACATAAACTTCGTCGACTTTGAAATGGCCTTTGACAGCATCGACCGAGAAGTAATCCGGCAGACAGCTACTTCAATACTACGGTTTGAGTGCCACAGACCCTTATCAACCTCATTGACACAGCAGCTATATGCTATATGATGGGGCTACATGCCAAGTGATTCACAACACAATGTAAAGCTCAGTGACTTGTTTGAAGTCAAGTCAAGTCAGGAGCAAGACAAGACAAGGCTGCCGCCTACCATCACCGATGATCTTCCTGATTGTGGTCGACTCGACTCGACTCGACTGGATCATGTAAGAAAGAACTGTGAGGAGCTGTGAGAATATTGGCATACGCTGTTTGACCAATGAAAAGATCCTAGAAGTAGACTTGGATTTCGCCACCGATGATGATTCATCTCTGTCTTATGTCTTGTCGCACAAAGTCGAAGATGTATAGGCGAAAACTAACAAGTCGGCAGAAGAGGTGAGGTGAGGTGAGGCGAGGCGAGGCAGCGGAGGAATACGGGACTTGCTTCAGGTGAAGGTAGAGAAGACAGAGGTGATGAAGATACCCAACCAACAACAAGCACCGATCACCATCAACGGAAGAAATGTAGAGGAAGTTGTCTCTTTCACCTACTTACCTACCTGCCTAGGTAACATCGTTTCAACTACAGGCGGTGGCAGTGGCACAGATGAGGATGTTAAAGCAAGCCAGGATCGGAAGACAGCAAGATAGGCGTTCCTGTATTAACTTGAAATCAGTGTGGAGATGTACTGCACTCAACACAAAGAACAAGATCCGGATTTTCAACACTAATGTCAAGTCAGTGCTGCGATGTGATAGTTGAGAGACTTGTCGCGTTACGAAAAGCACTTCCAACAAACTACAAACACCATACATGAACAAGTACCGTCTACGTTCTCTCGATATTGAAGATGAGATGAAATCAGATGACCATAATAATAAGAATAAGCATGGAAGAACTTTTGCTGGCTGACTGGCAACAAACCAACCAAGTACCTATCGCTCAAGTAATATGCAGAAGGAAGTGGAGATGGATTTGATTGGGCATACACTGAGAAGATTGTTCGGGGACATGACGCATCAGGCCAGGCTAGGCCATCAATTGGAACCGTAATAGGAAACTACGAATTGGGCATGCGAGGGTAAGATGGAGGAGATGGTGTTAGGAAGAAATGAAAGCTTGTTGGCAGTCGTGAAGCCAGGTTGAAAAGACTGCAGAGAAGAGAGGGAAATGGCAACGTGCTACTGAAGCCCTATGTTCCACTTGGGACCCAAGGGACAATTATTTATTATTATTGTCAAGACCAATAATTTACGCCACTACAATTATTTTTTCTCTAGTGTATTCATTGCTGTCATTGATACATTTTTTGTCTTTTGTTTTTAATATGTCCGTAGACACTTTATCGCCATCGTCTGAAGCATTTCGTCGTGCTGTTGTCAGTGATGAAAGATCATTTACTCCAGATTTATTGGATCAAGCTTGTCGTGTATTGGATCGAATCGCAGCGCCTATAGATATGTGTAATAAATTCGCTGAAGCTGTTCGTCTAATCAAGGTATACTGAGTTTAATTTTTTTCCCCTGTAATGATAAAGTTATTTAACGGTTATCTTTTTGTTAGTTTGTTTCTTTATTGTCATCAATTTATGCTGAAATGTTTTAACATTTACCGATTCAGTTAACCATAAACCACATTTCTATTAAAGGTTATCATACTAACTGCTGAGAGCTATGTACTTCAAGTTGATTGAATATACTTATCGTGGAGCAACATTCATCCAGTATCAGTAATATTCCTAATGGATACATCACTCACGAGCATTGTTGACTGTATGAGAATTAATTTGGAAGAAAGTTGAGGGCGAGGCTAAAAGTTATCCACAGGTGTTATCGTGCTCGCCATAGATTGTAGGGTTGGTTGTGAAAATTCAAACATTCTGTGTTCTGTATAAATAGTTAACCTATTTGCATAGCTTTAAACTTTCGTTGATATAACTAGAAGAAGATGATAATTAACATCGAGGTCTTCAAGTCTTCAGTGTAAGGACTTACACAAGGATTTGAAACACACGAAATAAGCGTTAACAGTTAATAGTTATCCTCTATAGTTTATAAGGAAATACTTACGAACATATAAGAAGCAAACTGATAACAATCATGTGAATACGAATAATAGCGACAACCTGAGTAGAAATAAGTTCAAAGCCTCTTTTGTTTTACTACATAAGGAAGGTACATCAGAAACTTTATCTACGATTCTCAGCAAGGATGGTATTGAAACCTACAAACTCACTCAGAGATAAGCTTTGTAAACTGGCTTAAGGATCCGATAGATCCAATTAAATTAAATAATCTAATCTATCAAATTCCATGCAAGGTCAAGTACATGGGTCAAGCTAGCCGATCAGGATCACTTAGATTAGTGGGACATAGCTTAATATAGAATGATACCCGAATCAGATCAATAGTCTGGAAAAAAACCGCAGCTATTGCATTGCATGCATTAACATACAACCATACACAAAGCCACTGTACTGAAGTCCAATATAATTAGGTGGGAGTTGAGAGAGATTGATTACTGAATCTTTGTTCATCGACTGAACACGCAACATATGTAATAGGAATGATGCAACACCTATACCAGAGATACGGAACGTTTTACTATCACGAGAAAGAAATAATATGAGGTGACAAGACTATTAAAATCGGATGTTGAAAGTAGTATTACTTACATTGATATGATTATGAGTGATGATAATTTATGCTCGAAACGTCATCAGGCAGATTATACTGTATCACTGTACTGAACTGATGTTTTACTGGTCATTAGCACATTGTGAACTATTCAAAAAGGCTAATTGACACTCCAATCATCTATATTTCAACTTGATTACAGTTAACTTTTACTCACGCATACTATCTCGTATTCATAAAATTGCTTGTGCAAACTTCTCTGATCACTTAACTATGAATGGTTACGCGGAACATTGGCACTTTGATGATATATACCTGTTACACTTTGCTAAACCGTTATATGGTGAATGATATTTTTGTCTTCTAATTACAAAAGTGATCGAACTGTCCTGTGAAGAATGTAGAGATTACGTATACGATCAGGGGAAATGTAATGTTTCTGAGAATTCAATGAATTAAGTTAAACATAAAAGATAGATAAACTTCATTCTCTCGAACAATTTCAGAGATTATATATCTGATGAAATAATTAGAATTATGGTAATTTACAATTTGGGGGGAGGGGTTGTGAGAATTTATTGATTTCAAGTTGATATTCATCATAGACTGACATCAGTTGGACGAACACTGAAAGTCTGGAAGCACGGGACAGCTGTTTCATAGTAGTATGGGACTCTTCAGTAGTGGGTACCCATGATCTCGCCGGAGATCGAACCCAGGACCTTCACGTTCCGCTTCCAGCTAGTTATCATTGAGCTAATGAGTAGAAATTCAATAATTCATATTTCCAACTTCTGTCGGTTCACGACATAGCGCAAACATCACCCAATGTCATTGCTGAGCATTTGTCTTCACACTCACCAGGTTTGCCCTGCCGGTCACGACTTTTCATTGGAACTTACAAATTTGAACGTACAGTTATTACTACTCAATAGAAAGTATCAGTCCTTGAATCTCTGAAAAAGATCAAGTGATAATGAGATCATAAATTCAGTCAGAATATGTGTTTTAAAACTTCGCCAATTTCTGAAGGACAGTTTAAATGTTTCTTTTTTGTCTGGAACATGCGTTCAGCCTAATACACTGGTAAATACACTCATATTCTGAGTAAGAATGAACAGTGCTCGGATTAAAGTTTACAAAGTTTCAAGTGGGTCAGAGACTTGATACATTTGAAAGTTGACAAGATGGCCAACAGGCCTTTTTTTAGCTACTTAGAAACTACCTGTGTTTAACCAATTATATCACGATAATAGGACTTCAAAACTATCTTCTAAATTAGATATAGATTGTAGTTGTGTTAAGTTACAGCGGGCATTTGAAGAGTTCACGACTTGCGTTTTATCCTATCTGAAACTCATCAACTGAGTATACATGCCTCCTAGTGAACGCTGTTGTTCGAAATACAAATAACAATACTTCTAAATTATATAAGTAAGTCATTAGCATATATCAACATATACAACTTCTCTCACCTGCTAGGTAACATTTACAATAACAGTTTTTACCGGTTTAGCTAATATGATGAGGTATATGCAAGTGTGGTTATTCATAATGAGAGATAAGTGATCATATCGTGCTGAATAATGAACAAATTACCTTTTTTTTCTATTTAAATAGAATCCTTTCTCTTATATATATACACATATATGTTTATTTTTTTTACTAGGCTGAAAATGTAATAAAAACTGAAGAGGAATTAGATATAGACGATGCACCCGATGATTATGTTGATCCTATCATGGGTTATATAATGGAAGATCCTGTGAAATTGCCTACTTCTGGTCATATAGTTGATCGTAAAACAATCTATCGTCATTTATTAAAGTATGTGCATTGGTATATTATCAGCTATTGTGTGTGTGTGTGTGTGTGTGTTGCTTATCTTGTCTAAAAATCATTTTATGCGCATAACTTTGTTTCATTACTTAAATTATTAAATGAAGATGGAATAACTTGAAAAGTGATTAGTTTATAATTGTAATTTTTTTCATGTACATAAACTAAGAAATTCTACTAAAGGAAAATATCTAAATTTAGCACAAAAGAAAATGAATAAATTTTAATTCAGAAATCAGAAAAACTTTTCATTAAGAAATTCAAAAACACGAAGTAATTCATCACATTTTGTACTCAAGAACACTCATCGGATCTCCAGAGAATCAACTGATCACACACCCAACCAATGATAGTTGTCACATAAAGGCTTCTTCATTTTCATGTAATATAAATTACTTGTGAACAATGTGACTGTAACTCGGATGATGAATGTGGACACGTGTCACATTTAATATGTTGTATCTGTCAGATTTCTGAGTTTTACTCAAAGAGAATGCGATGTTTTTGGGTTTATCCACCTCGAACTTCCTTCTATTCACGGTGAACTCCATTCATGCTGCAGCTGAAATATCGAAAGATAAATTCCACTTCCCATGTGACATTCATGGTTGATTGTGTTTCAGTGAATTTGATGAGCATCTCATACCTATTTCAGGCGTATTTCCAACCAATGAATATGGCATGCATACACCCGCTGTATACAACAAACCTCGGACATTTTATCGATTTGTTTGATTGTTGCTTGTAAACATCTTCCAGTATACCTTAATACAATAGCAAGTGTTGTAGTGAAAGATGTGCACAACATTTTAATGTCTACCTAGTCCAGTTTGACCACAAAACCAATACCAATCTATCATTTCATATTCATCACTATTTCACTGTTGACTTACCCAACACTGTGGAATACAGAAGGCTTTAAACAGCGGAAGCTGAAGCTATTCAAGTTTTGTTTACAAAGGAAATAGATGCAATCAGTATTACCTCCGACCTTGATCAGCTTCAGAATAATCGAATGCCTAAATATCCTGGTGTGCAAGGGATGGGAACTGTAATCTTGTTGATAATTTATACATATGTCCTCCTTGTACAATTACGCTTATCGAATTCCTTCAATTTGTCTGCATACATTTGAATAAATCAACCGTCTGCTTTCACTAAACAATTCTTGTTGATTGCATTCAGTATTCGCACACACTACCTTGAATCGACTTTCGGCTGCAGAAAAAATTTCGGAGTTCGGTGGCATACAGTGTTTTTCCGAATGCTTTAGAGAGGTAATTCTTCAGTATTTCTCCTACGTCATCCCCTTTGAATTCAATATTCATGAATAAGGTCTTATTAGGAATAATAAGGACTTGTTCTTGTTGTCGTTTTGGCTCCACATGTTTTTCAATGAACCTTACGGGATAGCCATTCTGAAGTACTTTGTGAAGGTGTTCCAACTCATCGTCTAGTATGTCATTTGTGCATATTCTTCTGATTCTCGTGCAGAGCGAATGAATAAGGTTCCTTTATCGGTTCAATGGTACCCAACTTCGGAAACGAGTGTATCATCTATTCCAAGTTGACTTCTTATAGATTGACATTTATAAGGAGTCATCGAGGCTCCTCTCCAACGAGATATCGACAAAATGAAATTCCTTGTTATTCTAAAATCCCATGGTGAAATTGGTAGAGATGAGTTACACTAAATTTCAGGAGACTGACATCAAGATCAATTTTCACATCGCATACAATCGAGCCTTCATACATATATCTTTCATACAGATGGGACTCAATAATAATTCGATGTAGTACACCAGTTTTCAAACTTACTATAAAGAGGACCCAGTGGTGACCCTGCGTTTACTCCATGTTTTTATCGACAAAAACCTTTATTGAACTCGAATTGCACATTAAAGGTGTATCGTAAAAGTAATTCCTTTAGATAGTGAATTAGTATACCGACTTCTTGTCAAACCCCAAAAAAACTGCAGCGGAATCATGCTCCTGTTCCTGTCACCCACAAGTAAAATATTATGCCGCATCATCCTAGAAAGACTAAAAATGCTCTACATTCAAAATAACAACATGAACAGACTGGTTGGCTGGCTGGCTTCAGGAAAAACAAATCATGTGAGGATCAAATTGCAACGCTACGCTACGCATCATCATAGAACACAGCACAGAATGCCAGTCAAGTCAAGTCAACTCTCTACATAAACTTCGTCGACTTTGAAATGGCCTTTGACAGCATCGACCGAGAAGTAATCCGGCAGACAGCTACTTCAATACTACGGTTTGAGTGCCACAGACCCTTATCAACCTCATTGACACAGCAGCTATATGCTATATGATGGGGCTACATGCCAAGTGATTCACAACACATGTAAAGCTCAGTGACTTGTTTGAAGTGAAGTCAAGTCAGGAGCAAGACAAGACAAGGCTGCCGCCTACCATCACCGATGATCTTCCTGATTGTGGTCGACTCGACTCGACTCGACTGGATCATGTAAGAAAGAACTGTGAGGAGCTGTGAGAATATTGGCATACGCTGTTTGACCAATGAAAAGATCCTAGAAGTAGATTTGGATTTCGCCACCGATGATGATTCATCTCTGTCTTATGTCTTGTCGCACAAAGTCGAAGATGTATAGGCGAAAACTAACAAGTCGGCAGAAGAGGTGAGGTGAGGTGAGGCGAGGCGAGGCAGCGGAGGAATACGGGACTTGCTTCAGGTGAAGGTAGAGAAGACAGAGGTGATGAAGATACCCAACCAACAACAAGCACCGATCACCATCAACGGAAGAAATGTAAAGGAAGTAGTCTCATACACCACCTACCATCTTGGCAGCATCGAATCAAGGGTAGTGTATCTGTTAATTCGATTTCTCACTGGTTGAAGAATTTTAGTCAACAACTTAGCAGTTGTATGATATGGGGAATTTTTCACATATTTTTAAACCTGGACGAAGGGGAATATTCTTTTTGTGTACTTTGGCAAGCCGTAGAGTCGTGAGATTACGGAACCTGAGGGTTTCAAATGTTTGAACAAGCTACTGGTGATGATCGACTGGTGTTTCATCTTTTTTAAGGATTTTGATCAACTTCTGCTTACTTGTATGTTTCTGAACAGGTTCTTTTAAGAATATGTTTTTATCTGAGAATAAAAAGGACAAATTTACAACATGGGCATGCCGTTCCACGAGGATGATGTTGGAACCCTTATTAGGACGAACTGGAAACAACTTGTTTGTGCAGAAGTCCTGCTTTCGCGTTAATATAGTGAAGGCGAGAGTTGACTTTAAGTGTTCCATAATCGACCCAGTATTTCACCCTAAAACATTCTGTTTGATGACCTATTAGCTAATAATAGAGTAATTTATTTGTTGGTTTTTACTATTAATACGATTGTAGAGCTGGTAAAAATGATTCGTCGTAAAGAGAATTTTCCTCACTATTTCAGAAATTTTTAGCTGTCTGTTTTTGTCGATAGTTTTCATCGGGGAGTTACATCTTTAGTTAGATCATAAAACACTGAAAGGAGTTCGGTAGTATGTTATATCCTACTTCAATGTTCAGTTTTGTGTGTCGTTGATGTCTGATATCGAATAAGATTTCCATCTGTTAACTAAGTGGGGTAATTACGAGGTTAGCATATAATCCTCTTACGCATCTGTTGACAAAGAGTTTAGAAGTAGGAGAGAATAGATACCAAGCAATGAGGAACCTCAGTAGACGCAGTTAGTTTAGAATTTGGAGAAATCTGTCACAGGTTGAAAAGATGTATCCCGAGTGGAGCTATATTTTGTTGGAATTTTTATTTAACGGTGATGGTGGAAGAGTGTGTTACGTGATGATCGAGTTGTCTGAGATCATATCACAACTGAATACATTCATCTCTGTTAGTCGCGTTTACTAGTGGAGTAGACGATACAATATCCAGGACACATGTTTGTGGCATCAACTGTATCATAATTTATTAGTGTTACTACTAGGCAGCAGAAACTCAACTATTTGGTGATGATAATTGGGTTTTGTTTAACTTGTTTTATGTTACTCATGCTTGATATGTGTAGTAGATTGATAAATCTACTTTTACCGATACTTTAATATATATAGTATGTGCATACATAACTTCGTTTTCTATTTGTGATATACAAATTTATTTATTTAGTGATTCAACTGATCCTTTTAATCGTCAACCATTGGCAATGTCTCAAGTAGAACCACAAGAAAATTTACGATCAAGTATTCGTGCATGGATTAGTGAACGACGTACACTTAGATTTCAGAATAAAACTCAGGCTGAACCGAAATCATGATGATATACACATGATACATATTCATATATAACTTTATTATCACTACTATGATTATCATTATTATTATTGTTATTATTACTGTTATTATTACTATTATTACTACTACTACTAATTTCAACCTTATATAAATACACTATGAAGCCACTTTTGTATACAACATGCAAGATATCCTTATTGAGCGTGTATGTATGATTTTCTTATTGATGTTTAGCGTTATTCTTCACTTGACTGAACATCGTTTACTTTACATTTACAAATAGAAGCAGTATCTTATATCTTGAAGTGTACTATCTTAAAGGTATGATAAATTAATTTATTGTAACAAACATAACAAGTATATAAATGTTGTAAAATGCAACAAGAAGGCAAACATACCGCGATCGCCATGTTTAGGAGATCAACAAAAATTACGTATTGTCTGTTGTAATTTATACTGTTTTAAAAGAAAGAGAATAACAATAATAAACTGGTTGTAAAAATTCACCTCATGTGTCTTTAAATTACAGAAAATGTCTTTCTTTTTTCACCTAGAAGGGAGGAAAAACAAAAGTTACGGTTTGTTTTTCTTTTCAATAATGACTTGGATAAGTCTTTTTTTTAATGAGATATGGGAGAGTGCCGTGAAATTTACGCACTAAATAATCGGATTGCAAGAATGATGAATGTAGCGAAATATAATGAGGCGATTTTTACTTAGATCCTTCTATATTGGTTGCAATCAAAGCAACACATTATGCAAAGTTCTTACATATTTTTAAAATTAAGTTGAAAGCGAATTCTTCACGAAGATAACATGGATTTCTATTATTATTTATTATTTGTCCTTTAGGTTCCTAGTGGAACATACAACTTCAGTAGTACGTCGCCATTTCACTCTGTTCTCTGCAATCTTTTGAATCTAGCTCCACAACTGCCCACAAGCTTTCATTTCTTTCTCACCATCTCCTCCATGTCACCCTCACCTCGGATGCCTAACTCATCATTTCCACTTTAGGTGCCACTCAAAGGCCTGGCCTTGTCTGACATGTGATGTCCCCGAATGGTCTTCTCAGTGTATGCCCAATCAAATCCATCTCCACTTCCTTCTGCATATTTGTTGGGCGATGGGTTTGCACGTTCCCAGAATTCCCTGTTGCATATTCTTATTATTCTGGCCACCTGATCTTCAGTATCGAGAGAACGTAGACGGTACTTGTTCATGTATGGTGTTTGTAGTTTGTTGGAAGTGCTTTTCGTAACGCGACAAGTCTCTCAACTATCACATCGCAGCACTGACTTGACATTAGTGTTGAAAATCCGGATCTTGCTCTTTGTGTTGAGTGCAGTACATCTCCACACTGATTTCAAGTTAATACAGGAACGCCTATCTTGCTGTCTTCCGATCCTGGCTTGCTTTAACATCCTCATCTGTGCCACTGCCACCGCCTGTAGTTGAAACGATGTTACCTAGGCAGGTAGGTAAGTAGGTGAAAGAGACAACTTCCTCTACATTTCTTCCGTTGATGGTGATCGGTGCTTGTTGTTGGTTGGGTATCTTCATCACCTCTGTCTTCTCTACCTTCACCTGAAGCAAGTCCCGTATTCCTCCGCTGCCTCGCCTCGCCTCACCTCACCTCACCTCTTCTGCCGACTTGTTAGTTTTCGCCTATACATCTTCGACTTTGTGCGACAAGACATAAGACAGAGATGAATCATCATCGGTGGCGAAATCCAAATCTACTTCTAGGATCTTTTCATTGGTCAAACAGCGTATGCCAATATTCTCACAGCTCCTCACAGTTCTTTCTTACATGATCCAGTCGAGTCGAGTCGAGTCGAGTCGACCACAATCAGGAAGATCATCGGTGATGGTAGGCGGCAGCCTTGTCTTGTCTTGCTCCTGACTTGACTTCACTTCAAACAAGTCACTGAGCTTTACATTGTGTTGTGAATCACTTGGCATGTAGCCCCATCATATAGCATATAGCTGCTGTGTCAATGAGGTTGATAAGGGTCTGTGGCACTCAAACCGTAGTATTGAAGTAGCTGTCTGCCGGATTACTTCTCGGTCGATGCTGTCAAAGGCCATTTCAAAGTCGACGAAGTTTATGTAGAGAGTTGACTTGACTTGACTGGCATTCTGTGCTGTGTTCTATGATGATGCGTAGCGTAGCGTTGCAATTTGATCCTCACATGATTTGTTTTTCCTGAAGCCAGCCAGCCAACCAGTCTGTTCATGTTGTTATTTTGAATGTAGAGCATTTTTAGTCTTTCTAGGATGATGCGGCATAATATTTTACTTGGAGTTGACAAGAACAGGTGCATAGTTCTGCGCCAGTTCGTTAATAGGCTTAGGTCTCCCTTGTTTTGAAGTTTGACAAGGTAGCCCTTCTTCCAATCAACCAGCAGGTATCTTTCCTTCCTTGCAAACCTTCTGCATCATTGGTGTGAGCATGTCCACTGTTGTCTCTGCGTCTGTTTTCAGTGTTTCTGGAGGAAATTACACCTGGTCTTTCTGCTTTCCCGGCTTTAAGTAACCTTATGGCGTTCAGGATTTATGCTTTTGTTGGAGGGTTTGTGTTCACTGATAGTTTCGTGACTCCTGGTGGCATTACCGGTCGAGTTGCAGATACTGGTCAATTGAAGTGGACTGCCCATTATTTCGTTTGTTTCTTCGCTTCGCTCACTTGGTTTCCTTCAGTATCTTTCATTGACTTCGTCTGTGTTGATCTCTTCGCAGATGGTATTCTGATTATTTGATATACTGTTGTCAGGTCTGCTACAAGCAGCCTGTTGGGCTTCGGTTGCATGTGTCTTAGGAGTGTCTTTTGTTTTTGCGCGGACTCTTCTTCACTTCTTTATCCAGTGTAGTGTTCAGTTCCTGTCTTCGTTGTTCGTCCCTTCGCCTCACCGGTTCATCTTCTGCTTCACTATCCTCTTCTTCCTGCTCTATCATCTTCCATGTATCCGTCAAGATTCATTCCTTGTCTTGTTTCTTCATAATACAGTTATGCAGATTGCCTTGCACATAGTTTTCAAAGAGTTCCAGTGTTCTTCACTTGGATTTCTTAGACTGCTAAATAGCTGAATTGAAACAAGGGTGATAATTTATTAGATAGGTTGATTTTTCACAGGTTGATGTAGTGGATTAACCTTTGTTAAACCCTTCTGAGAAATGTGATAAAGTCTATTTTTCAACTCTGTATTAGGGCGCTCAGTACAAACGAACTATGTGATGGATATGAAAAAGTCATTTTCTTTTATTTACCAGATTCCCGTCAACTGCTAAATATACATCAAATTGTAGAAGTGATAGCAATTAGGACTAAACAAACCTAGTTTTGTGTGCGGGAAAAATAGGTGTTGGCGTTACAACTACCTTGGTTGATTCGGGATAAAGAAGTTTGAAGCATTCTGCCGTCTGACGTAGTTTTCAGTTTCTCCTCATCCCTATCATTTGAAGTAATTTCGTCATATCTGTTTCCTTCCTAAAATGAGTAACATTTTACTAGGCTATTATTTCTCAAACTATTTTTTAAAAAAATAGTTCTATTTATAAACTTTGACAAAACAATAAGACTTAAATTGTCTAAGTTGTGTAATGTATTTGCGCAACATATTTCCAACAATCTAATCACGCAGGTACTTATCATAAGTATTTATATGAAACTTCTTCGAGATAAGGAGTGAGGATATGAACAGAGGTGAAGTAGAAGGGCTGAGTTGAAGACCAAAGTACAATGAAAACCACTAAAGTGGAAATAACAGTAAATCGAACCTGGTCTCAGAATTGAATTCACCAAGGGATATTTAATGTGATTAAAGATTGTTTTGACCACACGAAAGTTGTTTAAATCCCCTAATAGTTAAGACCTCGACAAATCTAAGGATCCATCCTGAGCACGTTTTGTACGTAAGTGTAAAGGAAGTAACAACATCAAGCCTATGACTTATCTCAACGATATGTTTGCGATCGAAGAAATTGGACGTCTGCTACCAACTTTATCGGTTCAGGTAATTCGATTTGCCTCTCAAGCTCAACAGGATATGCTCCTAAACCCTTACTTGCATGGATTTATGAATCCCGCCTCAGTATGTGTCACTACACGTGCATTTGAATTAGATGTAAAAGGATGGGTCATTGTCGTCTACATATTATAAGGGTTTTGAATAGTATACAAGCTTGGTGGTTGCCATTGGTTGGACCCTAGCTGCATAGCAGGTTAAGTCTCTGCTTAAGGACTGCACTATAAGAATCACTTTTGTACGGAAGACTGGGGAAGAAATCTCTCTTCGGGACAAAGTGAAGAGCAGGTTTTGGCGCTGTAGCTACTTTGTGCTGGCTATTTTTGTTTATCTTATCCTACTTTCGTGCACACCCCCATATTGTTTTATTAAACTGTCGCCTTATTACATAAACCGTATAATCGTTTAGCTAATAAATGACTTTGAATTGAATCCCAGCAACAATTGATTCTATCATTATCGCTTACACAAGACTTTTCTGAAGAGATTTCCCGCAACTGTATAATATTATTAATAAACTGCTAAACGAAATCTCAATATTGTTGACGCAAAATTACACGATATGGACATTGCTTTGACCGGTAGTGCCGTATAACAGTCTACGAGCGATACAAACCTAGCGCACAAACGGATCGACTCTAAACGCTAATCAGAACATCAACCACAATAACAATACTGTCGACGTGCGAAGACACGACGGGCAGCTGACAGAGAGCTTTTACTGTCTCAACAACAGTCAAAACAGTTGAGAGCGGTGCTATATGTATACATCTCTAAAAAACCTTGACAACACTAATTCCACATTTAGGTTAAAAGAGTTAACGACCAATGAGAGTTCAGCCTTCAAAGAAGTGGAAAAATGAAAGCTAGCAACGGTGTGATGGTAAGTTATTTTAAGGTTATACGGAAAAGTCAGGCAAGAGTTATGCAAACTTAGGGGTGTATGGCAACATATTTGGCTGTAGGATATGAAGAAGAGGATTCTAAGCATTATT